GAGGTATCGCAGATATTCGCCAGGGGGAGGCGAAAAACGCCCCCCTTCCGGGCCCGCAAAGGGTTCAATACGTATGCATGAAACCTGAAACCATAATAATTTTGGATGGCAACATCTAGGGGCAACCCTAGTAGCACACAACATTGATACAACATTGAGATATGTTGAAATCAGGTTGATTGACAATATTGGTGCTTCAACACGAATTCAACATTGATTCAACGTTGATATCACGTTGATATTTGGTTGTGCTTTGTCGAATCTTGGTTGAAGTTCAACATTGTAGTTCAACATCGATACAACATTGTCCCAATGTTGAGTTCACAATATCGACAGAGGTAGAATTTCAACGTTGTGATTCATTATTGATACAACATTGTCACGATGTTGATTTCACAATATTGATAAAAGTAGAGTTCCAACATTGTGATTTAATTACTATATTGCCCCGCAGCTGTGTTGACACTTGACAGCATTAAAGGGGGCAAATGCCCCCTCGGGTGTAAGGGGTCCCATGGGCTGGCTCAACAGGTCCTAAGGTGTCTTTCGGACTTTAAGGGTGAGATCACTGAGGTTCCAAATAGACGAATATGGTCGTATAGAAATAGTACCTATTGGTATCTTATTAGGCATATACCTACGTCTTGAATATGATATATATAAGAGAGTTATAAAGTGAATGGATCCTTAAATAAAGATAGCTCCACTTCATAAAATCCTTTTATAACATCCTCAACCTACGTTGAATTAAGCAGCATTATTGTATCGGCATTATTTTATTCGGGTGCCACCGGTGCCATTCAAGTATCACGGTAGTAAGTGCCTTGTTCCCCTCCCACCAGTCGTGCGCTGTGCTCTTTCAGAGACCGTACCGACTGGAATTTAGCGACCGCTGACCGTTTTGAAGACTGTACGCGGCCGGCAGCGGGCGGTCCCATCCTCGCCTCCGGCTAGAGAGGGGAGACCGCGACAGGGGACCGCGCGTCCCCCGTCCCGTTGTGCCGGCTCGCAGAGTGCGGACGGGTGTGTTGAGTGTGCTGTGTCCAGTGTCGTCTGGCGTCTCCTCTTTCGATCCATGTAGGTTTCCGCCAGTTTCTGCTGTGTGACAATCAGTGCATTTATCCTAGTTATTGCAGTGATAAGTTAAAAAAAAAACTGGCGCTGAAACGTTCTCTTCAAAATGGTGGCGATCACCGTCGTCACTCACTTGCCTGCGGCAAAGAGAAAAGGTGCTGCCGGTGGCGTCATGTAGCGTCATGGCTTGAAACAGGGCCCGGTAAGTATAAAAGAATAGATTCATGGTAGTAGGACGTATAGGTACATGCGTGATGCTAAATGCACTTACATAAATATCTATTATCTGAGCTGAAAATGACTGAACTGAATTTACTCAAAAGCCCAATTTATTACCGTTGTTACATAGGAATCTCCGCTTTGTTACAGGAGTGCGAGGCTCGACAGGCGACTCAACCCCCACGGCCCTGACTCAACCGCTCAAGATGTGAAGATGGCGGAGACTGAGCGGCGGCCGAGGTTGTGTGACGTGATATGTGAAGTGTAACTGACTCGAAAAAAGTGAAGAGCTGTGCCGGCGGCCGAGGTTGTGTGACGTGATATGTGAAGTGTAGCTGACTCGAAAAAGTGAAGAGCTGTGCATATATCAAAGAAATACATTTTCCCCGAACATTGACTGTGACGGTGACGCTGGAATATTTTAGGTAATTACGGGATCCTACGGGATTTCGTACACGTATAGGTCTGTCCACAACAACATCGAGACAATGTTGTATCAGCATCGAGACAATGTTGAATCAACCAAGAATCAGCATCGAGACAATGTTGTATCAACATCGAGACAATGTTGAATCAACCAAAAATCAACATCGAGACAATGTTGTATCAACATCGAAACAATGTTGTACAATGTTGTCCTGTCAATATTGATACGATGTCGAAATTCAACATCGTATCAATGTCGAAAGTGGCTAACAGAATTACATCGATACAACATTGTTGTCAATATTGATACAACATCGATACAATATTGATGTGCTACTAGGGAAGGTGCTCATGGATTTGCAGATCGGCGTATCAGACAACAGCCGGGTCACCTCAAGCTTGCCCCCACTGGCGAAATTTCGTGGCGCCGCCACTGGAGCCAAGTCACCATAGGCTCGGGAAGAGAGCAACGTGGAGGCCCACTGCCCCTTCCCCGGCCCCCACTGGGGGCGCCAGCCACTCCAACTTTTGACTGGATGTCAAGAGCGTCGCCACGAGGGGAACGAGTCGCCGGCCAGCCAAGGTAGCCAACGGCGTGTGAAGGTTGCCTGACCTCGAGGAAACTGAGATGGCACCAACGGAGGTTTTGTTAAGTAGGCGACCAAAATTCGAGCGGCAGCAACCTGGGCACCTTCACAGATAGCAGTGCCGCGTATCAGGGCGCCTTCGACGTTGAGGTGGGCGTCGATCATCAGGACGCCGGGGGAATATGACCCAATATCCCCCGTAAATATGTGCCTCGGAAGGGAGACCCAACCATAAAACTGAAAGCTCGCCGTATTTTATCCACTATTTTTCGAGCAGGGTCCATAGATTTCCGTCCTCAAAAGTGCGGGGATATTCCCCAGTGTTTGAGTTGGATGGGACTATAGTGGCGTTTCCACCGACAGGAGATTCCCATTGCCGGCTGTGGGAAACTACTGTCGGTGTAAACGCCATTCATATTTCCTGCGTCACCCCTGTGGGGACGCCCTTACTCCATGGTGCCGAGCTTATCAATTTGGATATCAATGGAATCAAAATCTCATCGATCGATGAAGAACTAAATTACCCCGACCCGGAGAGCGTCTTTGGAATCAAAGCAGTAGCACATGACGCAAGACTTCAGGCAAATAAATCCTTCTTGTCTGAAATAAAACATTTGTGTATTGATAAGCACGTTTTATATGCAATGGTAGCAAGATTCTCCATGTATTTGGTTAAAGTGATAATTTAGTAGCAGATACTCACCGTCGCATTTCGTTTTTTTAATTAATAATTTATATTGTCAGAACTAGCAACATGTCTCTTCACTCAACAATAATTACAAAAGTGAAAAAGAAATGATAAATTGCTTATATTTTGGTGAAACTAAAAATTAATTCAGCACATATTTTTTTTTTACAGCGTTGAAGTCCAGCTCCAAAGGACAGCTGACGATCGTAGCCGAGCAGGCCGTTTGGTACTTCTTCACTACTTCTTAGAAGTACCCGTTAGTACCGATCATGTCTCACATAATAAGCTATTGGAACAAAAATATCCATGTTCTTCTAATTATTCTCCTTTCACACTTTAAATAAATACTTTTGAAATGCATTTACTAATTAATTTCACAAAAACGGCTTGAAATTTTACAACGTCAAAATACTTATTCCAATTTCCACCATTAAACCACCACTATATTACTTCCTTACAGACCCGTGCGCACAGTGCGCGCAGTTTTATCGTGACGTCAGAGGGTGCTTCCTCAGTGGCGCCCCCTGGCGGGGAACGCGTGCAAAAAGTCCAGCTCTTAGGCATGTCCGGTAGGTATATAGGGCCTTGGGTAGGTCAACCTGTTTGAGGTTGGGTCGGAACCGTTATTGGAAATGCGCGTTGTGGACCGCTTGTTGCATTCGAGTTCGATACGGGCATAGGATACGAGTTTGCCAATCAATTGATCAGTCAGTGTTACACTCTCTGAACTCTAGTTACACTGCACTGGCACATCATGATCATGTCGAGCAGTGGGCCCAGTGAGCCTGAGCGGATTGAGATTGAGCTGGCAGCTTTCAGGAATCCTGGCCCTGTTCGGTCGCTGTCTTTATATCAGGGTGCTGTCGGTTTTCCCCATACAAGGAAGTTATTGCTGGCGCGGCTTGGCCTCTCATTGGTCTAACGAATAGACCACTTGAATTCGACCAATGAGGAGCCAAGAAGCAGCAGCATGGTCGCAGCCTGCTGATAAATAAACGGGGTGCGAACAGAGCTCAGGTTTAGCTTTACATCAAGATCAGTTTAAATGCCTGCTTCTGCTTTTTTTTATCTACCTATACTTATCAATTATTAAACTTCAGTTAAATGTCAGTGTTCACTCTTTCCTACAACTTTCCACCTTGTTTAAGATGGAAGGTTCCGAAACTTCTTATGGCTGAAATGAAATAGACATTCAGCTCAGCAGTCAAAGTTGCATGTAGGCTGTTGAAATTGAAATGCACCAAATCCTACTCATCTATCTTGCTTATTTGCATGAACATTGTCTATGGCATGCACAGAGGCATACCTACTCACTGTGAATGATTGATGTGAGTGCAATGTAATGGAGTTGAAAATTGAATGGCCTCTCACATGTCAGATGTCCTGAATGCTGAGATGTTCTGCTTCATCTATTAAGCCATTTTTAAGACATTGTAAGGACAAGGGATTTATTTATTTTGGATTCTACACCTTACTCATATTGTTAATATTTTGTGAATATTTCTCTGTGGAGTGTGGTTGAACATTTTATTTCATATTTTTTTACCTTAGTTTCCTCATTCCCATTAGGTAGTGGTTCATTGATCAGACTAGAAGAGGCATCATTGATGTTTATGGGGTGCTATGATTAGCCATTAGGTGCCATGATTTTCAGTTCTATTTTTTAATAACTTTTGGTGGCTCTTTTTCAAAGATACTACTGTCATTTGTATTAAAATATGCATTATGCCCGAACCTGGCCATTTAAAGAGATTGTGCATTAAGGCTGGAATTTCTGCAAAAAGAAGTGGGACATCAAATATGTTTTATCTACCTATGTGCTTCTTCAGGATTTCTGCACATGGATATTCAGGTGTTATATCATTTTAGTTTCCATTCCAACCATGTTAATTGATGGGAAGCACTTGTTTCTCTAAGTGTATCAAAATGGAATGACATGCTGGTTGTTTGCACACTATAAGCAATTAAATATTAGCCATTTTATCTAAATCTGTTCATGTGTTTCAGAGCTGAACCCTCGCTGTGACGGGCTGCAGCCATGGCGTCGCACCGCGCGTGGCTATCGGCCGCGCAGCTCTCGCGGCAGTTTTTCCAGTCTGCCCGCTATGTGCGTCCCACCAACTCAGTGGTCAACGACAGCTCGGAGCGGCCGGCGCCGGCGCCGCACCCGGCTGTCAGCCTGCTGCCGCTCTTCACCTGCGTGCCGCCGCCGCCGCTCAGCGCGCCCGTGAAACGCCGCTTCTCCACCGCCCTGCCGCGCGGCAAAAAGTACCACGAGGCCGAGAACGAGTTCGCGCACGAGGTGATGTCCAGCCTGCCGGCGTACCGGCGCACACTGCACTACCACGTGCTGGGCGGCGAGGCGGCGCCGCTGGACGCGCCCGTGCGCGGCCAGCAGGCCGGCTGGGCCGCCCAGACGGCCGCCACCCTGGTCAGCGCCATGCGGCGGCTCCAGGTGAGCGGCGACGAGGGGGGCGCGGCGGCCCCGGTGCCGGCCGAGCCGCCGGCCGCCGACCCGGCGCTGGCGGCCCGCTGCGCTCAGTACTCGGACGACCAGATCGTGTGTCTGCTGGCTGCGCTGTGCTCGTGGCCGCCGGGCGGGCAGCCGGATGAGCTCAGCTTCCGGCGACTGTGGCAGGCGCTGGACGGCGAGTGCTGCCGGCGGCTGGCGCGCTGGGACGCCGAGCGGGCGCTGCTGGTGGCCGACCTCTGGTATCGGCTGCAGGTCAGCCGGCTGACCCAGTACAGCGGACACCTGCTGGAGCACCTGGGCCGCAGGCTGGGCCAGCTGTCGCCCTCGCAGCTGGTCCAGTACCTGTTCTTCGTCAACCTGTCCCGGCGGCTCGGCGGAGTGAAACAGGTAAGTCGGTGTCGAGGGTGACTCAATTGGTGGCTGTGGGTGTAACTAGAATCACTTATAGTGCTTGAATGAAGGGGAGCGGCTGTTGCGACAGTGTTAGTGCCGACTGCCGAGAATACAATATGGACTAAGCTGCTTCCAGGCTGAAATGTCCATTATCAACTTGTCTTGTGCTAAGTTTCGGTCGTTTTATTTTTAGGACCATCTTTCTTGTTCAGCCCAAGATTACTAGAACCCTGGCTCAGTCTGTTTTATGTCGTATTGCCATCAGATAGAATAATTGTTCAATCCCGACCTAACGTGATCGTCAAGTCTTACGTAATCAAGCACCGCAAACACCATCATCTAATGTTTCACTATTTTTCGTATTAATATGGTCATTATCATGTCATTGGCCACGCTGCATTACTGCTATCGCCCAAAGCCCGAGGGATGTTTGCGTTATTTGGACATAACATGCAACCTTTGTCATGAATCAACTTCATCATTTTCAGGTAATAACACTATAACATGACCCAAAGGCCAAAAATATTGAAATATAAATTCATGTATGCTGCTGTCTTACGATTAATTATAGTTCCCTGGCTATTTTGCGTTGCTAATACTTGTGTATCGGGCCAGTACGCCACTTGCATTGACCCTTGCTCTGTCATCTGATCCTCTCGAGCCACCCCAACCTGGTGGGTTATCGGACTAATCTGCGGCCGTTATTTATTCCCGTGACGTCACTCTGTCCAGTGACGTCAGTGTTCCCCGTGTACGGGTCACTTGGGATGCACGCCGGGCGCGGTAAACAGCATGATGCAATGTGCTACTCGAGAAAGTACGTAGGTCGGTTTGGTCATTGAATTGGGGCCAATGCTTCATTGCTTCTGTATGGTAATCCTCCCAGAGGCGTGTGCTAGAGATCATAATCACTGGGAATGTGCGGGGCGAGTAGCGGTTTCACCGAGTGTCCAGAGTTCCAGAGTAGTGTGTACGCGCTTAGCCTTCGTTGCGCAACTTGTTACCGGTCCTGGTGAAAGCGGGAGACCGTTACTGAGTGTAAATTTAGCTGAACACCTTTAAGCTTTTAGCGTCAGCATACTCATCAGACGAGGATCATAGGCCAGAATCTGAGCAGGCTAACGAGTTTTGAGAAGCTTTTACCCTATGCCAAAATATGGCATTTATGTTCACGGAGTTAAGTAAAATATGAATAAATAGATCGGGAACATCACCAGTTCCTTTGCCTGGTTTTGTGGCCCCAGTCCGACATGTTCCGACATTATAGGGTCGATGGATTTTTATCGCCCAATTCTCCCCTCGCTCCATCCGCAGGTGGACCTGGAGCGTAAGATCCTGCAGTGTCTGCCTCTGCTCTCGGTCGACGAGCTGGGCATCATCTGCATGAGCTTCTTCAAGACGCAGACGCCGCTGCAGCTGGACGAGCTGGTGGACGCGGTGGTGTACAAGCTGCTCAGCTGCGTGGAGACGGCCAAGCCGGAGACGGTGTGCGCCGTGCTGAAACTGCTCCGGCTCAGCGTGCCCGCCAGGAGGTGGCAGGTCGGTCGGGGACGAGGGTGGTGGGAGGGGACGGAACGCATGGTCTGACCGTAACAGCCTGGCAGGCTAGTTTGTATGGAATGGAAATCAAAACATATTGCGTCAACATAGCAGAAATATTTTTATGTTTTGCGATTTCAAGGCTTGCGATGTTAGAGTTTGATTTGCTTGTGGGATAATGAGTTTTCTTTTTGCATCGTGACGGGTAGTGTCTTTATGGTCACTAGATACGCTGGTTTCTGGGTAGTGTATTTCAATAGGAGTGCTAGGTTGAATTTCTCGTACTTAGTGTGTAAAACGACACTCTGCTTTTCTGGCGCTCGAGATGCCATCTGAAGAATTGGATCAAACTGCTCTCTGCACTCGGCCTGTTCTGTGCTGCCCTCTGGAACACATGTATCGGCTCATGCGTCTATAGACTGCCGTGCCCTATAGCAGGTTCTAAATCTAGACCGTTTGCACGACCGTGTGATAATCAGTGTATGTACTTAAACTAACTGTCGTGTCCATTCAAGACTACAGGTCCAGGAGCGTGTGTACGACCGCCTGCTGTCTGTATGAAGACCGTACGTCTTCTGACTGTAGTGTTTTATTCAAAAGGTCCTGAAGCATATGTACGACCGTGTGATTATGTGTCTGCTTGTACTGACTGGTATCTCCTTGTCACAGGTCCTGGAGCGCGTGTACGACCGCCTGCTGCCTCTGGTGGATGGGTTCAACTCGCTGGTACAGCTGCACCTACTGCTGCTGGGCACCCAGGCGCTGGTGCACCACCCGGCCGCCGTGGTGCGCATCACGGCCCACCTGCACGGACAGCTGGCCAACATACGGCTCAAGGTGCAGACACAGGGCAGAGGCAGATGTGCATCTTCCATGGGGCACTACGGGTTGAATTGTAGCCCTGGCTGACAACGCTTAGCTTTCATCTATCCGTCCATTTAAGTCGTATAATGGCGTTGGTATTGCTGCTTTCAGTTCTTTCTCAGTGCCCACTCTTTATGTCGGCATCTCACATATTATGATGCTCCAGACTAATGTTCATTCCTAACGTCATCGATTTCCAACATCGACAGCATCTGACCACGCCCCTCCTCGCCCCCGGCAGGACATCGAGCGCCTGCTGTTTGTCACCATGCTGTTCAACTTCGACCCGGGCGTGGCGTTTTTCGATGACGTCGTGTCGGACCTGCGCTCGGAGCGACGCGTCGAGGAGCGCAAAAAGTACCCCAAGTGTCTGATGTCGTGTCTGATGTACCTGGCGTACCACCGCGTGTACCCGGCCGACCTTATCGCCACCGTGGTCAGCCCTTCGTTCGTCAGCTCCATCAATGGTGAGAGCGGGGGGGGGGCGGAGGGAGAGGGGGGGATCAGGGAAGCTGGAAATGTGACTGGGAAGGGGGGAGGAAGTAGAGGCTAGGAGCATGCCTTTTCTCTTGAAGACAACGGGAGATTAAGAAAAGTGAGAGACGAACGTCTTTTATCCGGGACAGGTTGATTTTGGGAATAGAAATAAAAAGACTGCGTTTTTACCATCAAATAATAATTGTTAGATGGCTAATTAGGAAGATGTTCCCCCGACCTTAACTTTTTAATTGGAAACCTTTCTTTATAAGGATGAGCATTGAGCTGCATAGACCACAACAAATGAGTCACAACGTAAGATAAATGCAGCCTTTTCCACATGCTGCTTAGTGCTGCCGTGCAGTTTGGAAGAAGTTTATTAATATATAAGTTTACATTAATAAATGATAATAGTTAATTGTATAATGTCGAAAATACGTGACCATACTTTCCCTGTCAATAAATATTTGATAGCGTTGTTGACGATAGTAGCAGCTTGTGGCGTGCTTTCCGTGCTCCGTTTGATGTGCTGTTATCAATGCTTACTCTCCTCTGGGAACGCCAGACGATAACTGGTGCTATGAATATTGAACATGGTATGTCATCATTACCAGTAGTAAATTAATCCCATTGCTATCAGTCTTCAGGAAAAGGTGGTTTTCAATTAGCTTGATCATAGACCTCTTCACATAAACAGGTGAACGGAGGTACCTACAAGGTACCTCCGTTAGCTTGGCGTTAGCAGGTACCTACAAGGTACCTGTAGTTAGCTTGGTGTTGTACCTATCTGAATCGGGGTAGGAAATCGACGCAGCTTGAAATATGGCACCATTTCCCTTGTTTAAGAGAACGCGAACTGCGTGTCCCAAAGAGATGTAGTATTTCGCGAAAAGAAACCCCGAGCAACCAGGCCCAGCTCGGCAGAGCAGTCGCTGAAGGCAGTTTTAACGCTCTATAAGCATTAACTACACTCCCTGTTAGCAAGCTACCTTCCCTGACAAGTCCCAGCCCCATTTAATTTTCGGTTAATGTCGTTATTGATCACGCAAATGGTGTGTTACAGTATGTTAGAGTTGTTTGAAAAAAACTAGCGTGTTGCATCAATCACAATGAATATCAAAATAAAGGATTTTTTATGCTTTTACTCTAAGTTTCAATGTATAGGTTTGCCTCGAAAAAGTCTCTGTCTCGGTACAGTTCTGATCTTGGGTTTGTCCGGACATGGTGGTGGTCCTAGCGTGAGACCGCCCCGCTCTGTTTACAAGCCTATGTGCAATGCATACTGATGTCGACTTGTACGTGGCTTGTTAGGAAAGCACCTCTTTTTGCCCTTGGACAAATGTATTGACCAGTGAATTCTAGTGGGCGTTTTCCGTATTTTCAGCCGATAGTGCGTTTTGCTCCTTTCCAAAGGTGGCCACGCTGCAGAATGTTCTGCTCGCACGCTAGCTTGTATCAATTGGCTTATCTGCTAAATATATGGCATTGCTTAGCTAACACTTCCGTAAAAAAACAGTATGTGCTATATTTAGGAAAATATGTGTTTATAAGAACTTTACTGCTAATACATGTGGATTACCTGCACAGCCAGGATATCTTGGCTCACTCTTGATCCGGTGCCCCCTGTAACCTCTGTAACCCTCCCCCGGCAGACTCGATGCTGTCGTCCTACAGCGGCCTGGAGCGTGAGCTCACCGCTCTCAGCTGTACGCTGGAGCTGGAACTGCCGGGATTCGTCTCCGAACTGCCCAAAGAGTACCGACAGAAACACCTCAAGGTGCGTATATCTGCGCTAAGACGCTTTCGTGCTAGCGTTATGCGAAGGCGATAAAACACCTCTTTATGCAGTGTTTTACGTAGTGAGTTACGTAATCTTATTGGTCGCGACATCTTGAAACGCAGCTGTCATACAACAGATTGGAAGGTTTTTCGGGAAAACTCGATTTGTTCGTGCAGCCGTTCGTGTCCATTGGTAGTCCAAATCCAATCAATGTGATGGAGATATAAAGGACGTCTCTTAGATTCAGTTTACATTCCTGATAAAAGCTACGGACATGCAATTTTTATTGGAAAAGATGCGTAGGATAGTGGAATATTTCAGTGTTGAGAGTTGAGAGTGAGACATACCTTTTGAGTCACTGTGTGTGCCATTTTTAAGAAGTGTTTGAATTCCTTTTTTCATTTTCCCACAATGCTTTGTAATAATAGTCAATCCTAACTTTAGAAATCAAGTGGTCTAATGCAAAAAAGTCGATGAAAATTTGCATTCCTTTTACTCATATATTAAAGGACATTACACATTGCAAGGTTGGTCTCTAACTCTCTACCACATCCTTTTTGAGCTGATTTTTTTTTTTACCGAATGCTGAGTGGTGAGCCAAAATTGCATTGCCCACCCACCGCTATAAAATGACACCCATTCCCCTCTCTGTCCGACTCACAGAAGCACATGGCCCGTGTGCCGCGGCCGGGCACTGGCAGACTGACGTTCGCCGAAAACACCCAGCTGGCAGTGCGGGCCACTCTGGCTGAGCTGCTCGGCGGACCGGACCGCGTGGCCGCCCTGCACGTGCTGCCCCACTTCGTCACACCAGGTATCCAAGGAGACATTGCAGATTTGATGCATTGATGTTGATACTGTGCTGATTTTTTTTTTTTGTAACGAATGTTGTTCCTTTTGACGAACACATAGGAAAATTCTGACGCCATGTGTAAACTCATGTGACCCTCTCGGATGCTACTTACAGCAATTGGCCCATCCTTAGCCGGGTGTCATTACCCCTCCCCCAGCATCTCCCACTGACTGTCCGTCCGTGACTGTCTCCCGCTGACTGTCCCACTGACTGCTGTCCGGCAGACATTGTGGTGTGTCTGGACAGCTCGGGCCGCGGACTGGCCTCCCCCTGCTGCCCCACTGACCCCTCCCCTCGCCGCCCGGCAGATATCGTAGTGTGTCTGGACAGCTCTGGCCGCGGGCTGGTCCTGCCGCCGGCGTACATCCGTCAGCCGGCGCTGGCCGCTAAACGGCCGCTGCCCGGACTGGGCCACTGGGTGTGTGTGGTGGTGGGAGGTCGGAGCTGCTACACCAGAAACGACCAGCACCCGGTGGGCAACTTCCTGATGCGGCTGCGGCAGCTGCAGCTGGTCGGATACAGCGTGCTAGAGGTGAGAACTGAGGTGGGGGCGGGATGGAATGGTGGAATGATGTGGACTGAGTATGTATTAGTGTGGCGATGGATGAGTATTATTTCATCCATATGGTGTGGCGTGGACTGTGGATGGATATTGGAGTGGTACGCTTCTTCGCCTGTAAAGCTGTTTTTGCGTTCGGACTTTTTATTTTATTTCTGTAGCTCCGCTGTCATGATGAACTCTACGAGATGCCAGGTTCACTTCAATCTTCTCGGGACTAACCAACATATCCCCCTGTCATCCCGTCAGGTTCCGTGGTACGAGTTCCAGGACAAGTCACACCGTCTCGGCTACCTGCGCCGTAAACTGCAGCAGCTGAGTGTCCCGCCGCCGGTGCCCCTGACCCCTCCTGGCGGCAGCCCGCCCCGCGCCGCCCGCCTCAGGTAGGGGAGCGGGGATCGGTGCGGTAACAGCGACATTTCGGGAACGTGATGCTTAGTTAGTGTACGCTGTACACTGTAAACCCTCGGTGGAGGCATGGTTTGAAGGCGTTATGACATGACAAGCTCAGTGTTAACGTGATGTGACGAAAACGGTATGGCCTGTGGCGTTATTCACGAGCTGAGCTGGTGTGTAGCCGATGGAACCATAACGCACTATCAGAGAGACCTCTGACTCCTGTGTTGCCGAGACCTCGCGACTCTTATCCACTCGGTACTGCAGCGGCGGGCCCGTGAAGACTCCATTCAGTAAAGGAAGCCAGGGCAGGCCGCAGCGCGCCATTGGCGAGAGAGCTCCCTGTCGGGTGAATGAAAGCCGTACAAGAGCGTCGTGGTGGAGCCAGAGGCGGGGATAATCTACTACGTAAAGCGTGCGGCGTGGTGAGCCGGGATCTGCTTGTACTTAAAGGTGTCCCTGACAAGTCAGAAAGTACAGTGATTCGTGCAGTGATTCGTGCAGTGAACAGGACTCTGGTGTTTGTTTTTCATGAAACAAGAGTTACCGTCTCACCGCCAGCTAGCTATGTCCTGCTTGTTTTATCTTTTTTTTGCGTCTGTGTGTGTCAATGTGTGGTAGTCAAAGTTGTTTATGTTTGTTGGACTCCGCCGGCCTGAGTGACAGCAATTATGGTTCAACAGAGATCTGACGAAGTCTCTGTCTACGTGAATGTGTAGGCCAGTGGACAGTTCTATTCGCCTTGTTTGAGATTTTTTGAAAGTTGATTTATATCCTTAAGACAAGAACATTATGTTTATTTCTTTCATTCAAAAGCCTCCTTCATATTATTTATGCTGGCATAGTTAAAAGAGGATGGCTTTCTCAAAATGACAAAGAATGGGAGGGACCCTCCAGCTCTGAGCAGTGCAAAGATTTATTAGCAAGTGCGTGTAGGTTAGCGGGAAGGTACCAAGTGAACTCATGACAAACTCAGTCAAAGGTGTTCACATGCCGCGTCCGTCATACTCATCGTTTTATGAAAACACTCTGATATCCAATGTCAATCTTGAGAGACAAGGACGCCAGTGGAACACTGTGCTAGTTCACTGCGGTGGTATACACTGCGCCTGTTTTTATTTCGATGAGTTTAGTTGTTCGGTGCTCTCTGCTTCTATGCGTTTGATTGCTGGGCGTCTGTACTGGCGCTTTGACTCTGTCATTGGTGCTACTTTGAGCTTAATATGACGTGGTACTTAGTCTGTTTCACTTTCATTTGGTGCTCTGCCGTACAAAGGCAAAACCTCCTATGTTTCGATTTTCGCCGATATTTTATTTTTCACTAGAGCAGTTTTTGTGTTTTTGGTAATTGTCGACGTAAGAAACAACAGATGTCACAAAATCGTATATCCTCGGAATCCTTAGAAAACGAGAAATTTCTTTGTTATAAAATAAAATGACAATGCCAAATACTATCCATGAAAAGGCTAAAAGTAGGTTATGCCAGTGTAATTTTTATGAGCGATGCAAAGGCAAAAACACCTTTGTTGCAAAATGCCGTCAAAATCCCCTATGTTAAGAAATTATACCTTTCCCTTGCGAAGACAAAAACCCCTATGTTGCAAAAGGCCGTCAAAATCCCCTATGTTAAGAAATTATCCCTTTCCATTGCAAAGGCAAAAACTCCTATGTTGCAAAATACTATAAAAAAAACACTGTGTTGGGAAATTAGGGCGTTGGAAAGCAAATACCTACGCGATGCTCATGTGGTGCGATTAAAGGCAAAGTATCAAATACGAATACCAGTGATATTGAAATATCAAATAATTTATTGCCAGTACGCTTCGTCGATGAAAAGAAAGTATGCCAGTTGTTATAAATCATTCTAATGCGTGGTTGTCATGTCCTCGCGAACATGACAGAAAGACAAAGTCTAAACAAAGCATGTATTCGTTCGTCAAAATGATCATACACGCAACATTGCGGTTACACAAAACGCATCGTCTGACACTTATATTGCAGATTGATTGATGATTGATGATTGATTGATGATTGATTGATTGATTGATTGATACCACAAGCTATACCACAAGAAATCATCAAGACTGTGAGCCGATACAAATGCATCATCACAACACCAGGCAACGCTACGCCTATGTCTTCATCATGTCCCGATGTTCATCGGGTTCGTCGCCTTTTGCGTGACTGAGTTGTGGTGGCGAATGTCGTCCCTGCAGGCGCGCTTGTGCCGGCCGCCATCGTCTCCCAGAAGGCACGCTTGTGCTGCTCGAGATGAGGCACGAGCGTCTCGCAGATGGCCTTGATCTTTGCCTTCTCGATACCAGATATCTTCGATCTCATTGGCAGCGGCTCTTCTGCTGAAAACGTGCTCTTCGTTAGCTTGTATGCCATCCACGTTGTCCCTTTTAGGTCAGTCTTCATCATGAGGTCCTCGGACCCCCGCCGAACTCTCAGAGCCTTCAGGTCCGCCAGATATGGCCGCTGTTCGTCGCTTGACAGCGCCGCCAGTCGCTGCCGGCTGATCCCGTCCTCCACTTCTACCATGTTCACCTGTGGCCTCATTTGCATGGTTTTTGTGCCACTAGCCTCCGTAGCCTTGACATAGTCTTCAAAATCTTGTATCTTCCGTTGCTTGAACCTCTTTGATATCGTCTGATGTACAGCGTCAGCCGACATGGACGTGTGTCCTGTTTCCAAAAACTTCACTGTGATCGTGCTCGTTCTCGTCTTCGTAGAGTTGACCGTCTTCAGAAGAGCGCTGCACAAGGCCCAACTCTTATTCTGCGCACCACAATTATCCGCCCAGATGGTAACATGAGCGACGTCCCGACAGGCGGACTCGAGGTACAGCACATATGCTGCGGCGACCTCTTCTGCGCTCCGTCCAGCGTGTCCTTCGTGCCAGACTACGCACATACTGTTCTCCTTCTGGAGAGCCCTTCTGCTTGATTTATCTCCTTTGTCTGTCGGCATGAGGATGCTGAAAGTTTCATTGTAGCAAATTAGTCTCTGTGTGAAGATGGCTTCTTTCAAGGGAAGAATCGGAATTACCATGACTTTCATCATATCGGCTGACAGCACGATCTCATCATCACTCCATGTTCTATCTGCGTCGGCACGATACTCGTTTCTAGCTATCTTGGCTAGATCCATGTGTTCAGCGTGAGCGCAGCACTCACTACATCCTTCGATGTGCTCGGAGGGTTCCTTCGCCTGCCTTCCATGGCAGTCCTTCAAATGCTGGAGATGAACGGAGCATTTCGCACACTCTTCTCCCGCGAGTTGTGCGAACGAGATGTTCATCTCGCGCACGACCTTCCTGTATGTCTCGTAAGAGCACTGCCCACCACGGCGGGTGTAGTCTGTGTACATGTCACGCACAGTTACATCTGAGGGTAAGTACATCCTCTGAGGCGCATGCATATAGCGATAGTGGTGCTTGATTGGGTGGTACAAGTTGACGTGATCCTTGATCATATAGCGGTCAGTCTTGTTCGAAGGGCAGTGACACCCCCGCTCGTCTCCTGCCGGCCGGATCGAACCATCTTTGACGGCTGATAGGACAGCTTCAGCGTTATCAGCCGCGAACCCGAGTGTTGTCAGATAGAACGATCTGCACACAGTGACCGATTTGTCTCCAGATGGCAACGACCAGGAGAACGCCCTGGTACGCCTGGGATCAGATTCCCTCCGGTGTTCGGGACGACGAACATGCACGTCTGTTGACTTGACGTAAGTTCGATACCACTGTTGGCGTGCCTCACGGCTGAGCTGGTTGACCTCAGTGTTAATCTCGATCCGAGTGGATTCCAAAACCTTCTTGAAACACTCATTGCGGCATCCATCCTTGCACTGTTTTGGAACATTTAGTACCGGATGCTTCTGCGCGAAGTTGGCGACTTTCTGTGCGGAGGTTCTCGCTCTCTTCTTGACTGCCGTTTTTCTTCGCTTAGGTGGGGGTGAGCTGGTCGCTGGCGAGTCTACTTCTCCTTCTGCTTCCGGAAGATCATCTGGGTCAACAGTTTCCTCGGTCGTACCTTGCATGTCGCCGTGTGTGTTAGTGGCGGCTCTTGGCGTGAATATGCCTACTAACGGGGACACTTCAAGCAACAGCTCGTCTTCGCTCAGAAACAGATGTTCTACCGACTCCATGTTCGCGTCATTCATGGAAGTCAGTGGGTTCAAATATCTTTGCATTTCCGATGTCTCGGGCATTGCTTCCCTCTCTGGCTCCAGATATGCAAAGGCTTCGTCACAAAACAGCTCGTCACCAGGTCCGCCCGGTGCTCCGTCTCCGCCTGGTCCACTCGGTGTCATGCCTCCGTCCATTCCACTCGGTGTGCTGTCTCCGCCTGGTTCACTCGGTGTCCTGTCTCCGTCCGTTCCAGTCGGTGTTCCGTCTCCGCCTGGTCCGCTCGATGTGCTGCCTCCGTCCATTCCACTCGGTGTGCTGTCTCCGCCTGGTTCGCTCGGTGTGCTGTCTCCGTCCGGTCCAGTCGGCGCTCCGTCTCCGTCCGGTACGCTGGGTGCTCCGTCTCCGCCTGGTCCGCTCGATGTGCTGCCTCCGTCCGGTCCAGTCAGTGTGCTGTCTCCGTCCGGTCCAGTCGGTGCTCCGTCTCCATCCGGTACGCTCGGTGCTCCGTCTCCGCCTGGTCCGCTCGATGTGCTGCCTCCGTCCATTCCACTCGGTGCGCTGTCTCCGCCTGGTTCGCTCGGTGTGCTCTCTCCGTCCGGTCCAGTCGGTGCTCCGTCTCCATCCGGTACGCTCGGTGCTCCGTCTCCGCCTGGTCCGCTCGATGTGCTGCCTCCGTCCATTCCACTCGGTGTGCTGTCTCCGCCTGGTTCGCTCGGTGTGCTCTCTCCGTCCGGTCCAGTCGGTGCTCCGTCTCCATCCGGTACGCTCGTTGTGCTGTCTCTGTCCGGTCCAGTCAGTGTGCTGTCTCCGTCCGGTCCAGTCGGTGCTCCGTCTCCATCCAGTACGCTCGGTGCTCCGTCTCCGCCTGGTCCGCTCGATGTGCTGCCTCCGTCCGGTCCAGTCAGTGTGCTGTCTCCGTCCGGTCCAGTCGGTGCTCCGTCTCCATCCAGTACGCTCGGTGCTCCGTCTCCGCCTGGTCCACTCGGTGTCGGTGTCACCGCCTCATCTTCGACCTCTGTGAAAAGCGGGTTGATGGGATTCCTGAATCTGTAATTACTATTTTCAGGGCCGCTGAATGAACTTAATGTACTCAATGTATGAATGTACTCAACAGACATGTTCGTGGATCCTAGAAATGGATCTGGAGATCTGATCCCATGGATCTGGATCCGATATCATATGGGATCATAGATCCGAGTCTCCATTTTGTCGAGAGATCCACTCGGATCATGGATCCGGCATTCGGTTTTGTCGAGAGATCCACTTGGATCATAGATCCCAAGCTCCCCAACCTGCTATCATCCAAGAACAAGATAGCAGGTTCAAGACCGTGATTCAGTGCAATATGTGACTAATGATGCCCAAGTTCAAGCTTAAATTGGTTAATTAACCGTTATTAACAGTTATAAGTGTCAAAAACTGTTTTTGTCGAGAGATCCACTCGGATCATGGATCCAACCTTTGGTTTTGTCGAGAGATCCACTGGGATCATAGATCCGACCTTCGCTTTCGTCCAGAGATCCATTGGGATCATGGATCCATGATTCCATTTTGTCACGGGATCCACCGAGATCATAGATCCACAGTTGGGATCCAAGAACATGTCTGGTACTCAATGAACTGAATGAATTCAATGTAAACAATTGATCCTAAAAGAAACGCTGATTGTTGTCTTTTTAATGTTTTCAAATACAGTCAAACATGGTTCATGTAATACGTATGTACTTGCACATTTAAAAGTATTTACCTTGCACAAGGCCGAAGCTTTTCGGTGGCTTGAAAACTATGACTCCGGTCCACAGTTTCTTCCCATGAAGCATCGTGACCGCTGAACCGCCACAATGTGAACCTCTAAGAGACGAGAGAGGCACGTAGTGCGATTGGCCCTTGCTGACGTCTTCCCACTGAACAAGAACATGAGGTCTTCCGGCCACTTTCCTGTTATATGCATAGGGCACGCCCCCTTTGCGAGGCTTCATGGCGATAGGTTACCTAAATACACATAAGTGACAATGATTATCGATTAATGTTTTAAATTCGTGAGGAAATCACGGTGAGAAAATTGAATCACAGTAACTATTCGACCGGTCGCGTCGGCAGGAATCAAAGCCTTAAGCTCAGGCTACACTATCAGCGTTTTTTTCGGTTTCTGCGTGATTTCGGTTTCCGCGTTTTTACGGTTTCTGCGTTTTTTCGTTCCGGACGGCCGCCGCGTGGATGGTGTTGTTTATAGCATAGTGATGGATAAGTGATCAAATTAATCAATTATTCATGTTAAATATTATCGTGTTTTAACAAAATTATAATTAAGTAATTGTTTTAAAGATTTTATAACTAACAAGAATATATTATTGATCATAATCATTTGTCAGATTAATTACAATTATCTTATTTGAAGTAGAATGATGAGTTTTGAAACACATCTTGTCTCCTTTAATCATGAATTACACCATTTTCATTATTTACATTTGAAACTGTTCCATCGTCACAATATTATTAGCAACAATCACTTCTAATCATTCATCACTAAAACGAAATCCCGCAGAAACCGAAGAAAAGTTCACAGCTCTGAACTTTTTTTCGGTTCCGACTCGTCGGTTTTTGCGGGTTTTCGTTCCACGGGACGCCAGACTGGCAGTGTAGCTTGCGGAATGCATTCGCTATGAGGCGAACTTGACGACGCGAACCGAAATCCCGCAGAAACCGAAAAAACGTCGGAATTCATGCTAGTGTAGCTTAGGCTTAAATCAACGCCAAGATCAAATAAACCGCCCGTTTGAGGCGGTAAAACTCGAATAAAACTCACCTGCGTTGTGAAATAGTGTACCTCCAAATGGAAGATACCGATTCCACATGGGCAAATTCTCCTATGTTATTCTGAAAAATGGGTTTGTATACAAAGGAGATTAAACAAAGGAGATTTCGCCATTTATCAGAACATCAGTGGTTTTGCCTTTGCTTTTCGGTTGCATTCCCAGAACATAGGAATTCCAAAAAAACTTAAGTCAAAATAATTCTTAAAATATACATTTTATTAATGGTCTGACAGCACCAAAATACGCGACATGGAAACACGAATCGAATGATATAAAAAACGCCAAATCGGCCAAAAATGAACATAGGAGGTTTTGCCTTTGCACGGCAGTGCTCATGTGAACGTCAGTTTCTCACTGTGTGCCATTCGGCCTGAACTGACTGCAAGTCACTGAAATGACTGAGTAGATGTGCGCCGAAATTCAACCTATGTCTGTGTGAGTGTGCCTTGGACAACTTACTATCGGTGGTCTGGGTTGACATCTCACCCTGACCTGAGAGCACGCGGCTACGGTTGGGCTCCAGCTGACATTTCGTAGGGGTCTGCCCAAGGTATATCATGCACAGTCAGTTGACTGCCCGTTTCTGTCTTAGCATTCGTTACCGCGAATAGAACACGGTGCAAGGAACTGAGACCTTTAAACCACCGTTCGTGTAACCTCGCGGGCCCGCAACGGTAACTAATGCGACATGGAGTTTTATCGGTGGCACCGCTTACGTCGTGCTTTGTATTTTTGGACGGTTGTTTTGTCGGCTGTGAGTGAACCTAACGCGATTTGGTTGCGGCCATCATGTGACATTTGTGTAGTAGAATCTAATTGGGATGCGAGAGGGTATGTTCGTTCTCACGGCTTCGATTTCAGAACTTCGATTCGTCGGAGTTTGCTTCTTTACCGAATTAGTGTTTTGTCTTTAGGCTATTAACTACTTGCAGAGACGCTGACAGCATTTGCAAACGGCCGATCGTTCGCCGTTCAGTGTTCTTCCTAGCATCACGTTTTGAACAAATGCTGCTGTGCCGACTCGTTTAGGATAAGCACCATTCGAAATGATTGAGGAGACAGTTATGTGTACGAGTATGCAATATTTTGGGGAGAAAATATAATATTGTACAAGTTTGTGCCTACTACATGCTAGTTTTTCTTCTTTTTTTGCTGATGATACTAAGTGCAATTTAGCTGCATGCGAGAACGAATGGATAATATTATCCCATCTCCGAATGATACGATGGCTCGCTGACGTGTTTTTCATTTAGTGACTGGGTCAATCAAGTATCTACTGCTGGTATAAAATGCAAAACCTCACAAACCATTAAACACTCAACACACCACACCAGCTAGTGTTAGTGATGATCTACCTTCTCTACGCTATCCCACGCCCAGAATAAGCCGACCTCCGTCTGCCGAACTCCGGCACTCGCCGGCCGCTTCTTGCTGCCACAATGATGTATCGCTGTGGGAAGGTGGCCTGCCGCCGTGCGCTGGACTGACACCAATGAATCATAGGTGGAGGTGGGAAAGCAGTGTCAGGCCCATCCGTGGGTATTTCTGGATTTGGAGGTCACAGCTCTCGAGTGTAGGTACGTCTACTTTGCTAAGACGATGGTACAAAAGAGACGCAAAAGGCAATGGTTCAACGGATATATGAGGGGTTGGATTATCAGATGGACTTTTAATGGACTTTAGATGGAATTTTAAACGGAATAAATGAAGCAGTTACGAATTGTGTGACTCGCGGATGCTCAGTGCATTCTGGCGGGTGTCACTTGGCCATCGCATTTATTGAAATTGGTTCTGTATCATTTTCATTTTTAGTTTGTGTAGCTGGGCGTTCTCCGTGCTTTATCTCACCATTATTAACCCGCGCCCTGGTGGGGTCTGTTTATAACGCGACCTGGTGGGGGGGGGGGGGCTATTTTCTACCCCCCCCCCCCCTCGTATCTCCGAAACTACTGGACGGATCCGCAAAATTCAAACGGCGTTCGAAAGGCCTGTCAAATTTGTCGAAGGAAACCAAATTTCATTGACCTCGGGGTCACCGATGACGTCACAGGTCAGGTCAAAGATGAAATGTTTCACCGTTCACGGGTCTTCTAATGCGCTATGACACCGAGGAAAACGCATTTTGTCGAGAATCAGCGATAGGGGTCAGTTGCCTAGTAGATATGTTGCTATTAGAGGTCACTGACAATACCAGGTCAGGTCACAGGTCAGGTCACCAAGGGTCACAGGTCAGGTCACATGAGCCCGACTTTACTAAGGTTGTGTGATGCGTGTTTTATGGCCAATTTTTCATTTCCAACTCAATGGTGTTGGTTATAAGACTATCAGGTACGGCTTAGGTCACTTTCTGGCGAAGTTCAGGTCAAGGTCAGGTCAAGGTCAGGCCAAAAAAGGTCAAATTTTAAAGTTGATAGTTTTGCATAAAATGGGTATTGATTCGATGCAGCTCGTCACGGGGAGTCTAATGGTGGTCTTTGTTTTGCGCTACGGGGTCTAGAATTGCTAAAAATTGAGTTTGAAAATTTGACGTCATCAATTTTGAACAGTTTTTTCGCTATAACTTCGCCAAAAAAGAGGTATCACTCTCAAATTTGGTATGTGGATGGAAGGCGGTAAAGACTATCACACATATTCCGGTTTTTGCGAAATTCAAGAAACTTTTTGGATTTTTCGATTATTATATCCAAACATTTTATTTTTTTATTTTTGGGGGTCAAAATCCAGAAATTTCAAAAATCCGAGATAGCAGTTTTGTAGCCCTGTCGATTCTACAGCTTTTATTTTTTATCATTTTTCTGTATTTGCAAAGCTATAGGCCTGACAGCTCTTCCTGCGAAACCCTTTTTTGGGTCGAAAACGGCAGAACATGATGTCACTCTGACGTCATTTCCGGCCAACCTATCATAGCCTTTGGAAAAATGTTTGGTCACAATGTGTAAAATTGATGACCGAGAGGGTACTGAAAGTTTGGTGACGATCGGCGCAGCGGTTCTGGAGATATATCGAAAAGTATGGAGGGGGGGGGGGGCAAAAAATAGCCCCCCCCACCAGGTCGCGGGTTAATTCGTTTGCAGTGAACAATAGCATTGGGTCCTATAGCCCACAGCTTCGCCCGGGTGGCGCCTACCTCCGTCCTATGAGCTCTACCGCCCGGTGTGACCGACCAGGTCATTACTGTGACCATCAGAGTGATGCGGTCGGCCCCGAAATGACCTTTGCGACCGTCCGCCCCCGAGCGCGGCCGCCAGCCGTCGCCGACCGGTGTATGTGCGTGAGGTGCGTCTCTGGAGAGCGGCCGGTTTTCACAGAGCTCGGCGAATGACCAAATAATGACCCGAGGGCCGTAACTGTGTGATATGCCTGTGGCAGTCTCATGCTGCATACAAACATCATTGTAGGGGAGAGTGGGGTAATTTGGCCGGTGGTGTAAATTGGCCGCCCCTACCTGTACGAAAGCTGATAATAGTGAATGAAATAACTTTAGGGGAGAGTGGGGTGGGTTGTATCAGTTTTTACTCCGAGACCCATAACCTCGTAACTATCCGTGATAAACTAATTATTTCCATACTATCTCCTTCCTTGATTCTTCTGCTTTTTTTGTGCCAAGTAACTTTTCCGCCACCTCTACCAGTTTTTCTTCTACTGTCTGCCGAATAGAACAATGTTTTTGATACAACCTGCCCCATGGCTTGGGTGAGTTGTATCACATGGTGGGGTAATTTGTATCACTTGGTATTTCACGTTTCAGGGAGTGTGCTTGCTACTGGTTTTGAGCATAACAACAACATTAAATGGGGTTGATACAATGTATGTATATGCTCAAAGGCTTCACTTTTATTCGACCAAACTTAGGTCAATGCAATCCGAACGAAACATCGAAACGAACGAAACATCAACAGACTAGACGCAAAAGTGGCCCGTTAAGAGCAAAGAAGCCAACACATTGTGCCAAAATGGAACGAGTATTGACTAGCTACCTACAAACGCGAGCCAGGGCTTAGCTTTCGCGATCAAAAGCAACATACCCATACATACATACATGTTACAACATACCCCACCCGGCTCTGATACAACATGTACCTCGCCGCCATCTTGGAAAAACATCCTCGTGCTCAAAAACAGCGGACAGCTGGAGAAATCCATTTTCACTCACGCAGCCTTAGAACCTACCCTCACCACCGCCAGGGGGTGTCGAAGTCTAGTAGGAAAATCTGGCAAATTCCCTGCGTGACGTCACGTCGGGGATGACCGACGGCACCTTGCACTGAAAGATACGGCAGAACGGCTATTTTTGAAAAATGATTAAAAATACTTGTGTGCTGTTATGACGCATAAAACGCTTATCAGCATGTTCCTCATCATGTGATTAAGGCATATCCGTGGTCGAAAATAGCTGAGCCCCTCCCAATTTCCAACCACCGACCTCATAAGCAAAGGATGTAAGCGTAATCCTTAAGGGCGACTTTCCTATACATATCCGTACATATGCGTCCTTATGGAAATCGGTAGTGTGGCGATTGGCGACGCGCGCGACATCTGTGTGGCGACCAAGTGGCGACTGTGGCGACACCTGGTGGCTGCTTTTCTGCTGTATGTAGGCATTGGGGTTTTGCCAGATGTGGTTCCTACTGCTACACCACTATGTTGACCCAATACTAGAAAAGTTTTTTTGCTAGTAAAAGGCAAGCAAATTGAAAGTTGATTTATAAAATTGCTTATAAATGATTACGAGATAATAATAAAGAAATTTTGATTGAATAATTATTTAAATAATCAACCGTGAAACTATATTCTGGCAGGTTTAGTAGAAATAAGTCCGTGCAACCTTGTATTTAGGGCCTTGACCACCGCTACGGAGATCTTTCAAATTCGTGCACATCTAAATGTCCAAAACCAGTAGCGTCGCCACGGGGGGGCAAGCGGGGCAGCTTGCCCCCCCAACCTCCAACCGGGCACCCCCTGAGATCGATACAGATCCGATGAGATTTTGGGGTCTGAAAAAAATGGGGATAGTTTTTGGCAAAGAGGAATCGGAAACAATGATGATCACGAAGTCGCCGAGATCGAAAGGTCAGTCGACCTTCATTCGAGGGTCAGTGGCGACATCTCGGTCTGATGGCCGATGGGTTTCACAATTCACAGCAGATATCCCACGCAGTTTTCCTAGCCTGCGTGTAGATGTCACCCACATCGACACCATTGAGATGACAACAGATGTCGGTAGAGTCACCCGAGTGAGTTAAATATGAATTGTTTTTAGGTACATACGTTTACAAAAGCGCATCGATTAGGTATATAGCTAGCAAACGCAGAAAACATTGGAAACATTTTTACCGGCATTTATCGACTCCTACATTCCTCAAGCCTTTCATTCTGATTTCAATGCTAATTTCTAAAATGCTTGATTTGCATTGTTTAGCAATCCAAAGAAGAACAATGCACCATAGGCGGCCATGGCGGAAGGACGGAACGCCGGTCCCTCGGACCCCGCTAGTCCAGTTCCCACGGAGAGAGCAGAGTTCCGACAATTTGTCATCAATGGACCGTTTCAGCCTCAAGCCGGGCTCCATGCGCACGATGGGAGGACCTTCAAACAGTCATGGTAAGCTAACTTTGATTTCTACGTTAAACTTCAAAATGAAAAGTACAGCCCTCTGCAAACTGCGTGGTAGGTATTCTTTTTTCGACAAAAATGAGAATAACGCGAATACTATGCTATCGGTCATTCGGAAATCGTAACAGCAAGACGCGCTAGACCCCGCGCCTTAGATTGGCATCATCACCGTATTCATTTTTCATCTAGTTCGGCAACTAAACCCAAAAGTTTATATTTGCCCCCAAAACAAACTTTTGCATTTTGTTGCCACACAAGGCATATACTTTGTTTATTGATAGACCTAATCGAAGGAGTGGAGCATGGCGCATCTATTTGCAGTGAGTTCCGACCGACTGATAACATAGCCTTTGAGTTATTATCGGTTTTGTCGAAAAAAGAATACCTACCACGCAGTCTGCAGAGGGCTGTACCTAGTAGGTATTAGGTCGGATTTGTCAACCCATTTCATAAGCTAAGCAATGGAAGTGGAACTTAGGGTCAAGTACTCCGCTTTGAGGATTCCCTTTTGCGGTAGTGCGTGATCAGCTGGCTGCGGCCGTTCTCACCATCCGCCACACCATCCACGTCAGAGTATCATACGTCGTGAGAGAGCGCCGGAGTAACTCGAAACCGGGCTCTCAGTTCGCACTACCCAGCGTCGAGTGTCGACTGCGGCCCAGCGCATTTCCTTCGGGCTCTCCTCCCCACCGTCCCCTCCCCTGCGGCCGTGGGCTGTCCTCCCGGCCTCTCGCCAAGAGTCGTGTCGTTCCCTTGTTCCACTCCTCCTTTCACATTGTGTTGGTAAACCGAGCATGTTGCTGAGTTTTTTATCTCTTTTCGCAAAAGAATACGAACAAGGCTAACACTAAACCCTCGCCGGCCGAGGGGGGGAGGCGGGTACCGCCCCCCCCCATAGGTTTTTTCGCGATAGCTCCGAACACGCTGGCGATAGAGAGCTGAAACTTGGCATACCTGACCTTTGATTCAAGCCGGATCTTTTGACACCAACCGCATTTTTGGGTCAGGTCAGGTCACGTCATAAGTGAACCTCTGCACGGTCTCCAGATGTCGCAACTTCGCAACGCCCTCACTGCCAGAGGAGATGTCACAGGGGAATGAAACTTGCGGAATCTAGTATCCATTATGAGTCTCACAACTCGTATATCTCGGATTTTTCCTAAAGGTCATATGAGGTCAGGTCCGGCACGTATGTAGAAACCAGTAGGTCCGCGAGGGTTAAGGGTGTAGGAATGTGCTGTAAATATAGCTTCCACGGTTCACGTAACGAGAAAAACACAATTTTCTACAATGAGTAAATTTCATTTCAGGTACGCCACCTACAGTTGGCTGGAGTACAGCCTGGAGAAACAAGCTGCTTTCTGCTTCCCCTGCAGGGCATTTGGGAACAGGGCACCGGGCTGTTCCGGTGGAACGGTGGATGATAAGTTCACCGTTAGTGGATTCAAAAACTGGAAAAAGGCCCTCGAAAAAGGTCGTGGGTTCGAAAGACACGGCAAATCAAAGGCCCATTTGAACTCCGTATCAGCCATGAAAGCATTCATCAGCACCAAGAGCATTGATATGCAGCTCAGTGAACAGAGGGATAGCAGCTCAACCAGAGACAGAGAAGAGTACAAAAAAACCGTGAGGTGGTGAGTAGACTGCTGTCGGTGACGCAGCTTCTAGGCAAGTGCGGCGCTCCTTTCAGAGGGCACGACGAGTCGGAGTCGTCGAACAACCGTGGGCTCTACCGGGAAGTCGTTGCATGGGCAGCCGAAAAGGATCCCGTTTTGGCTACCCATATGTCTACTGGCCCAGAGAATGCTCACTACCTCAGCCCTATGTCACAAAACGGCCAGATTCAATGCATTGGAGAAGAGGTAAAAAAGGAGGTGGTGACGAGAGTCAAGAAAGCGAAGGCCTTCTCTGTCATGATGGACGAAACAACCGACCTTTCAAACAAAGAACAAGTTTGCGTGATGGTGAGATATGTTGTCGTCACCGATGAAGGCAAAAGCACAGAAAAGCTATCTGTTGAAGAAAGGCTTCTCTCCCTCGAGGAAACAAAAGACACATCAGGCGAACATCTCACGGAACTGCTCCTGAAAAAGCTTCGGGAGAGCGACCTTGATGTCATGGATATAGTGGGACAAGCGTATGATGGTGGTGCGAACATGAGGGGGAAAAACAAGGGAGTGCAGGCGCGCGTACAAGCCCTGAATCCAAGAGCTCTCTACACATACTGCTACGCTCATAATCTAAACCGGAGCCTTGTAAACGCTATTAGCTCGGTGGAGAAAAGGGGCGAACCGACTGAGGCAAGGGACTGTTTTGCTGTGGTAGATCTCGTCTACACGTTTGTGGAAGGAAGCACTGCGAGACACGCACTGTTCATGGAAGCCCAAAAGAAGTTTGGCAAAAGTGGTCAGGAATCACGAGCAATGAAACTCAAGGGACTCTCGGACACCCGGTGGAACTGCCGAGCCGCATCACTTCGTAGACTGAAGGACCCCGCCGTACTACGGAGTGTTCTTTCCTTCGTGGAGGATGTCCAGGAGAAGACGACGGACGGAGTAATTAGGGCTACGGCACTCGGCCTGATGAAAAACCTGCGGGATCCGAAGTTCATCATCACACTGGTGGCTCTGTCGCCAGTGATGGATCTGGTAGATCATGTCTGCAACTCCTTGCAAAGTCCTCAGCTCGACCTACTCTCGGCCCAAGAACTGATTTCCTCGCTCGCCAAGGAGCTGTCACACTGGCAGACCACGGCAACCTGGAACAAGATTCTGGAAGATGCTGCCGAGCTTGGGAGTCTCATCGACGTAGACATCAATGGAAGCGACGAGTCACGGCATCGTGCGAGAAAAATCCCTGCGCGGCTCAAGGAATTCGCCTGTGACAGTCTTCCACCTTCAGAGGATGCAAGCCCGAGAAATACGAACACATCGGACCTCGGGGAAGGTGCTGAGCAGCCCTCCGAGAAGACGAAACAAATGCGCCGTGTTTTCTGCGTGGCAGACAGGCTCGTCGCCGAGCTGGAGCGCAGATTCCCGCCCGAGTTGGGAGACTTCTGCATTCTGCAGCGAACTCACATGTTCCGTGATGATGCCGATGGAAGGCTGGAAAGGCTTGCGGCACTGTACGGCCTGGACCTGGCTGAGCTTAAGAGCCAGTGGCTCCTGGCGAGGAACATGATCCCCGTCGAAACAGACCGGGACATGCAGGCTGCGCATGCCCTGCTTCCGAAAGAATTTGTGGTTTTGCGCTGGCTGTATAAAGTCGCTCTCACCCTCCCCGTGACGTCGGCTGGCGTGGAACGAAAGTTTAGTAAGATGGCTCTTCTTAAGAGTAAGCTGCGCACCACGATGAGCCAAGCACGGCTCGAGCACCTCATGTTTTCATTCTCGGAGAGTGATATCGCATCTGAGCTGAACATGGAAGAGCTCGTGTCAAAGTTCGCTCGCATGGGAAATCGTCGCATGGAGCTGCTGTGAGCTCAACGCTCCACTAGACGTATACCACGTACTCGTATTCACAGTGTGAGCTTAGAATAGGGACTATTCGATAAAAGTCGTCAGTCATGAGTCGACCCGACCGCTTGTGATACAGAAGTTCTTAGATCTGTGCTCAATTATGCCCAGAGTTTTATTCGTTGCTGTTCGAATGTATTTGTGTGGCTGTGTCTCGATAGTCTGAAAGAGTCTCAAGCGATGCCGCTTAAATAGAGGTGTCGAAACTCGATATCCTGCTTGGCCAATACATTATGCAAATTTAATGTCGTGTGTGGCTCGTTTGCAGTGGCGAAACTGGTCTACGTATCATTCGTTTAAAGGCTTTGGCTTATTGTAGTAAGTGGATGGTTTTGCTTTCCAAAGCCAGAAAATGGTGGTTTGAGACATTGCGGTCGAAGGATCTTACTGCGAAAGCAATATGTTCTCTGGCTATAAAAATGTATGTGTCTTCTGCGTCCTTTAATCATATTTATACCTACTTATAAAAGTAAAGTTTATTTCCAGGCGAAAAGGCGATATAATCGCTTTAATATCGCTCACTGCGGGAGGGGCGATATCACAAGTGCCTCTCCTTCAATTAAGTGAAAGTTGGATAGCCAGGTTTTGCCCCCCCAACCTAAAATGTCTGGCGACGCCTATGTCCAAAACACACATTTTCTTGCAACTCATTTTTTTAGAATGACATTAAAAAAACATAAAATCGGCTCTCACCTCGAGACGCGTCCACCCAGCCACACGACAGAACAGGGAAAGATGGCGCCCGGAAAACCTCGTCGGCTGGTCGTGTCACGAGCGCCATCAATTGGATAAGCTTCGCACAATTCGCCCTGATACAACTTGGACATGATACAACTCTCCCCGCTCTCCCCTAGTCTCTGTTCATTTGTCATCGGCAGAACTAACTCGAGAACAAATGTCAAAACTTTCCCCCTCTTAGTTTTATTCAAAATTAATAAAAGGTGAATTACGTTAGAAAATGGTAACTTTTACTTCCGTTTAAAAATTTGTATAACATGTAGTATTTGGGCTGTAAACAAATTCGAACATTATAGCGCCATTTTTGAGGGTGTTCAGCGGTTCCAAGAGCAATTTCATCTAGTTCTGTACAGCCATGGCGACTTTATAGACAAAAATTTTCCGAATGGCAATGTGGGGTTATTTGGCCGGGGCTAGCGGGGCAACTTGGCCGGTGCGCTCAGTCACTATGCTGGGTCGGCCGAGTTGTCATGGTCAATTATGCCATAAAGGACATAATTCATGACCAACTTTGACTACCTTGATGCCATATTTCCTATTGGACAGCTGTAAGGGCATGTGACGTCATCAAAGGTCACCTAACGCTTTTTTACTAATAAATACTTACAGAAAAAAGATACAGCCGTGCAAATGGTCTCATTGTGTTCAGCTCGTCAAGGCGCATCGAATGATATACATGATGACCTTGAACTCACGTAACCTTGATGTCAAGCGACCTGAGGTAACGTGACCTGAAGCCAACCTTGATCTTGACCTTGACCTTGACCTCTCGAGGTCAACACATACATGTTTCGATGCGGAATGACGAGAGAATTACGATGATACTTTTAGTTTTGGCCTAACTTGATTATTTCAAAAGTTATTCGTAAAAAAAACTGTCATCGCATCTAGAGCCGCTATTTTGACTATTTTCGACCCCTGTGACGGCTGAGTCAACCTCCAAAATGCTTCAAATGCGTCGTAGGACAAGCGTCATTGCTGAATGTGAAGCTGACTCGCCTATAACAAAAATCATGGCCTCAAACTAACACCGGCCAAATTGCCCCACACCCCCGGCCAAATAACCCTGCTAGTGGGGTAATTTGGCCGCTTTGCAGACCTTTGTAATACGCCACAATTTCAATATAAGTAGGTACTCAATCATTTCAAGTTTACAGTCCAAGAAAGTAAAATGTATGCCACACCTGTCAGCGTTGAGAAAATGCAGAAATGTGTTGTCGATTTTTAGTTACATCGTTTTCTAAAAAAAGCGGCCAAATTACCCCACTCTCCCCTACCTGTAGAATTACCCTCGGCCTTCGGTCTCGTGCTGCAAACTCAGCAAATCCATCGGTCCTGAGTGAATCATTTTATTGGGCCCATATATGATATTGTACATATATGTCTGGTTAACTGTACCGATATTTCATGACTGGCGGTATTATATTGCTTAGAAATAATAAAGTTTCAGTGAAAAGGTCACGCCCTATCGCTAAGTATTTAACTTCAACACATTGTTGAGCTTCTAATTGAGCTCGATGACAATTGACACAAGCATCAGATGAGCACCGTATTTAGTATATTGAGGACGAAGCGATGTTTGCCTAGCTTTTAAGACCGATTGCCGCTTATAAGTGGTTATCCCTACGTGATCCTGGACAAGAGCATACACCGATTCGCTGCCAGGCTCCCGGCCGGCATGTGGTGCTCGTGCCTCGTTCGGCTATCTGGGTTGTTTTCGAAGGTGTGAATGTTGTTGCTTGGAGTTCCATTACCACTCGCTCGTCTGACGGCATCCGTACTGGAGGAGGCGAGCCAGCTAACTACCAGTAAACTCGGCAAATGCTATCGCTAGCACACTTTTGAGAGAAACTCGGCAGCTCTGAAGGCTGGTCAAACAGCTAACTTCCCAAAGTTACCCGGGTGTGAATAGTTTATGCGATCTACAAACAAATGCGGCAGTCTCAGGGACTCAGGGCATCACGCGGAAGAGCTGCTGTCGACTTTGCGCTATATTTGGGTTCCATTGAGCTGTGCAACAATCTCGATGACGTCAACCGTAGATTTGTGGTAGGCACGCCGCACATCTCTTAGTATATTGAGGAGCAAAAAGTGTAAAAGGGTCGGCGTCGGCGTAAAAGAGTATTGGAGGTAAAATAGAATGTAATCGGAAGTTGCATGTTATGAAATATTACACTTAATGAGGGTATGATTTCTTGTGATTTGACCTGCAATCAACTGGTCGTCATGCATGTTTAAGTATACGGTATTGGTTGAGTTTTGGTGTTACATCAGTTGACACTTTGCAACAGGCGTCATAATATCATCAAGTACTCATCTTCTCTTCAGGTCTAATGGAATCTATATCAGAATTACCGGAACAAACATTTTTATCAGTTGTTTGGCTTATTTGACCTGAGTGTGACCTGCACAAGAAAATAAGATACCATTGACGGCTTAATATCTTCCGGTAACCAGTAGGTATTATGTCTTTCCGGGAGCATTCGTTTAGCTGATAAGCAAAGTCAGATGATATTTACCCCCAGCGGAGCGTCCACAGCTGAACTATCAAAGGAACGTGGAATAAGTTACCCCGGTGCTCTCGGAATATCCCAATGGGAGGGCGGCCGAGCTACGAGTCGACCGGCAAGACGCGGAGGTGAGAGACCCGCTCGAGCCGACTCGGCGTTTTCCATTGATCCTGGAGGGGGAGAGCCAGCTTTCAATGGCAGAGGCCGCCTCACTGATCAGATTTGCTCACTGGTAAGTGCCAACTGCCAAGCGGGGTAGACGGTGTGTGACTTTGCAGCAATCTTCTATGTTCATACGTCCGGCTCTGAATCCTCCCATCTGATATAGCTTGGCAGCTTGGCGTAAAACCTGTGTGTGTCCGTACACTGCGTTTGCCCTGCTTAGTATAAGATAAGCCTCACTGGGATCGAAATGACAAAAATGTGCTGACGAAAGGACGGCAACAGTGGTGGCAACAGTGGGGACACTGCAGCTCCGTCGGACCCGAGCCCGAATCTCACTCAGCCCCTTTGTTTGTTTGTTTTGTTTTGTTGGGTTAGGCCCTTTCGGTCTGACAAGACCATTGCAGAGCCGGAAGGATGATAGGAATTAGGGGGAGACATTGGTCTGGGCAGGCACCCTAGTGAGTCGCCGGGGCTGAGCCCGTCCAGAGGACAGGCCACCCAGCCCCAAGGCACTCACTGCACCCGGCTACGGGGTGCGCTCCCTCAGGAGCAGCGGTGCCGCTCCAAGGGAGCAGCCCGCATGAGATAAAGTTGCCTGTCCAGCCCGGAGGGGGGTTGCGGCGTGGAGGAGAAGGATTTCAGTATCCTGAGGATAGAAGCACGGAACGGTGACTCAGCCCCTCTCCTCCATCGCTTTAAGTAGGGAACTGGTTACTGGACTTCCCATAGCGAACCGGAAGGCTGCTGGCAGCTCGAGTGGTCGGTGGTCATTGGTCATTACACCGGGCTGACCTCACCCCCGGCGCCGCTGCGGTCGGCGGCCGACAGACGGCGCTGGCGGCGGCCGCAGGTGGCCGCCGGGCCGTTAGGGCGCTGACCGGCGTGCTCCGACGGCCCACTATCGTCCCCCGTCGGCTCCGACGCCACTCACGTCGGCAGCATCCCATCGGTGACGCGGCCCCGTCGCGTCGCGCCCCGCCCGGCCGGAAGTTTCATCTCCATCCCTCTCTCGGCGCGGTGGCCCTCGCTGCCCCGGTGGATGACGCGGCCGCACGCACACCAGCTATTCGCTGTTATTGGTGGGCCGTTTAATTTGGTGCGCCAATTTGGTCGTACGGCCCGAGGCGGCGATCTGAACTGGTGCCTGTGCCACCGGCGATCGCTCCCGGCCGGGCACCGGACGGCGATTGACACAACTCGGCCGATGCAAACAAGCTCGTTGGAGCGTCGCCCTCAGTATGAGGAGTGGGCCGGGATGCGCTGTCTGGCATGGGAGGTAAACAAATGGCTCACCCACTCTGATAAGTGAAAAGTTGGAAGCATCGAAACGTGCGAACTTATTTGGCACATACCCGTTTCTCGACTTCATCATGCTCTTTTCACTCGTAGCCAACACTAGCAGAATGCCTACACTAAGCATGTCACGTCTTCAGTTCTAAAACAGGCGTTTGGGTTGTAATTCGCTGTTGCACCTCTTATGACAATTCCTTTGAGCATCTTAGGTTTGTCAAGAAAAGGAAACGCAAATAATGTAGTAACTAGTATTTACATAAATAAAACGCAAATGTGTCAACCCGGTATACCTTCAAAATTGCCATCGAATGCATACCAATCATGGACGTTTGAGAAGCTCTGGAAGAGTTAGGTATAAGGATGTGGAACACTGATAAAAATGGGTGGTGGCTGCACCCGCCTTATGCTGCATTCATGCGCTTATGCGTTGCTGACAACTCCGCCACCAATAGCATCAAAGCAAGAGTCGGCGTCAATAGAAAATAAAACGATCGCAGTACGTGTTACCGTTTCTGAGCCGGTCCCTGGGATCTATCGGTCGTCTCTCGGGCATATAGCACCGTCACCCGCGCGCAGAATATAGTTACACAGTCTTTCTCGCACGGAATATGGATGCTCTGAGTTCTGACTCCAGCTTTCTAGTTCAACTGTGTCACTGACACTGAAGTGGCAGTGCGGAGGCAGATGCAGGGGAGTATAGGTATGATATCATCTCTGGGTGGAAAGGGACTGGTAAGGGTGTCTCGGTTCGTCGCTCGACACAACGTCTTCGGTTGTTAATTTATACATATAGTTAGTATGTCTCAGGTCGTTTGAATTACATTCGTTTAAACATGCTAACCGCAACTTAGGATTACCGGAGAAGGATGCAGCACCGTATGCACTTCTTTCGTACAAAGTATGTAGGTAGGATACGTACGAATCCTAACTGAAATCAGCTCAGTTGAATGATAGTCGACAGCAGGCATCTGACAGCTTACGTCTACATAATTAATGGCATCGCTTTATTGTGAATGGCACACAAGAGAAACACATTCATTAATGCACTTAACGGCAAGGAGTGATTAATTGTGCGCGTTCAAATTCTCACACATCCATTAACCCAAAGGAGGAAGATGCTTTACCTCGTTTGATAGCTCCGGAAGATGTAATGATTTTATCGGTAAGCTATGTTCGTGCTCCGATTTTTGTGCAACTAGGCAGTTGCAAATGCCTATCCAGTGATGTATTGTAACAACTCGGCTAGTGCCGATGCGTAGGCGCTGAAATTAATTGCTCAATTTATTGCCTCGTTTGCTTTGACTGACCCAAGGTATCCCCTTATGTGAAACCTCTGAGACACCAGCCAAAATGGACATAGGTGGCGGAACGGGGAGGGCACCGGGGCACCGTGCCCCCTTTGATTTGGGCATTCTAACATTGGCCCTATGGGCGTTGCATGGAAAGAATGAGACTAAAAGTTGGCAGTGCCCCCCCCCCCCTTAATTGTGGGTGTTCCGCCGGGCGCCGCTAGAAAATGAATGATGGCTTTGCTTGCTGATTTTGTTTTTGTTTTTGTTTGCTCACTCATGTGGAATAATATACTCATAAAATACGGTCTTTAGTTTCATTAAGAGTATAAACAATTTATACCCATAGAAGATATAGCTTGCATTTATTACATTTGACAACATTCGTGACAGCTAATAATTCGTAAATGCTTATACAGCATGTAGCATGAAGGATCGATAGCTTGTGTTGGTGCAATACGTACATATTTTTGGCATATTTTTGGAGTTGCAGCCCATGTTTAGATCCATGTACGCTATTCTACATGTTGTGTGGGCTAGTTGTGTATATTACATACGCACATACCAATTGATAAATGTTTGTCATACATATATCTATGCGCCGCTAATAATAAGATGGTGTTCCATTCAGTAACAGAAACATCACTGCCCGGCTAGCCGCGTTACAATTTAAGTTTGTTCAAGCGGTCACTGCACTGCACAGCGTTTTGTTTTGAGCAGGAAACGGCATTCACAGGCGGTTAAGACGGCTGCGACTGCTTTAAGTGCACGTTAATACGAGCTGTTTCACCATTTCTTTTATGGTGCATCCCATAACAGTGACTTATGCACTTTTCAACCAGTGCATTCGTATGGCTTGGCACTCAGCGATTATAACACGCACAGCACTATTGTCTGACTTGTTTTCGTGTCAGGAAAAACCGGGGGCATTGTCAGTCACGAAGACAGTCATATCAGGCCAGTTGGGTAAAACGGGCACACCAAACACATTTACCAGTAACATGACAATTTTAGTGCAACTTTTCTCTTAAAACACTTTTAATGGGGTGCTTTTTGTCTCTCTTTTTTGTTGAGGGACTAAAACATGCTCACGACTTCTAGGTGCGAGCACCTACCATTCTCTCGGCACCCTGCCTGCGTTTCGAGCCTGGGAAAACCCCGTTGGCAAAGACAGTCTCGTTCTCACGAGCCTGCTGCCAGACGGCGACGCGACATGGTAGGGCCTTGGAAGGTCGCAGACAGATGACATGACAGCCAGAGTTTGGGACGGGGCGAAGTCAAATAACGAGAGCGGAGCACGGAACGACGCCTGTATACGGTCCGGAGTATCGCGTTTGTAATTTGTATGTGACCGAGGCAGAACGTTGCAGAGAAATGTGTCTGAACCCGGTGGTAATGTGTCGAAACATTTGCTGTAACAGAACTTGAGCGCATGCGCTTATGCATATGACTATATGAATGTTGTCCAAATGGCATAAAATAAAGTTGATTCTTTTCAAATAGTGCATTCAAAATGAATCTAAGACCATCCATCCTTCCCTGGAATTGTTCCTACCTTTGCTATCACGTAGCCATCGCTCGCTTCGTCCAGTATAAGGATAAGACCAGATCCGACATTGGGCGGCGGGCGCTGTCTAGCAGTTTAGATCACAAGAATGCAGATACGTTGCTGGATAGCTCAAAGGCATCCACCTTTTGTTTATTTAAAAATGCCTCAAAATGTTATGTTGTTACCAAAAACCATGGATGGTACTTTTTACAGTCGCTATCACAGCAGACAGATGACACCAAGCTGCTATAAATGATGTTGCAAATGGTGTGGCACCAGACACTTGCAACATCCTGCAGGTACAAGGAACTGTATTAGCCAAGCTGCCAATGCATTGCGTTTACCTATGGGAAATGGAAATAGGAGTTAACCTTTAATACTAGCGGGATTAGGTTAAATTTGGTGAAGTAGGGTCATGAGGTAGGAATTAGTGGTGCTAATCGAAACTTGGACCATCAGAATTCCGATTTTGTCCAATGCCCGATTTGGAATTAGGCTAGGCAAAGGTAGCAGGCTTCGAACTACGTTGGACAATCACTAGCTACACTCCAACATTTTTATAAAGCAATTGTGCATAACATTGATAGGCAAATGTAAAGCTCAGCACTCGATATGATAAATAATTTTGAGCTGGTAACAGTAAATTAAAAGCAAATAAAATAACAGTGCTGAGTGTTAACTATTGCGTAGTTTTCAGACATCTTTTGACACAAATGGCTCGCTTGGAGATTTTTGGACGGACAGTCGACGAAAATGCTGGACATTGGACGGACATTGGACATACGTTTTCTGAAACTGGCACCGCTAGTAGGGATAGCGCGTCCACGGGCTTCAATGAGTGCCTTTTTTGCTTCTCATATTTTGCCTTGGGCACGGTATATACGAGTGGTTGTTTTTGTTAGTTTGTTTATATATTAGCACATCATCACCGGGCTGTGACCCAATATTGATAGGGGCACAGCCTCAGACACTTAAGTGTCGGGATGTGTGTGTGTGGGGAGGAACCGAACGTAATATGTGTTCACTATTGAGACAAAGTTTAGCAGGCTGTATCTTCGGTAAAAAAATCTACCGATTTGAACGAACGAGGCATTATTGTGACGCGCATTGCATCTGTTGCAAGCTGTAGAGCGTCAACAGATTTGCCAGATCTCCATAGGTCATTTTTTGGACATTTGTCTGGAAGTGCTTTGGCACAAGCTCTGGCACCAGTGGCACCAATTATATGTGCGTAAGACTGGAGAGCTCTGACGACTCTGTCTGTGGATGCGCGGGTAAAGGACAGGTCTATGTGGACTGTGGACGTCCGGGTGGACTGTGGATGAGCTGGTGGACAGCTCCGTCACGATACGGAGGCGGACGGTGGACACTGGACCGGTCTGTGTGGACTGTGGATGCGGAACTGTTCGGACTGTGGAACTGTGCGGACTGTGCGCTCTGTGTGGACTGTGGATGCGCGGTTGGACAGGTCTGTGTGGGCTGTGGATGTACTGATGGACAGTTCCGTCACGACACGGAGGCGGACGGTGGACACTGGACAAGTCTGTGTGGACTGTGGATGTGCGGGTAAAGGACAGGTCTGTGTGGACTGTGGACGTCCGGGTGGACTGTGGATGAGCTGGTGGACAGCTCCGCCACGATACGGAGGCGGACGGTGGACACTGGACAGGTCTGTGTAGACTGTGGGTGGATGCGCGGTTGGACAGGTCTGTGTGGGCTGTGGATGTACTGATGGACAGCTCCGTCACGATGCACCGGTGAGTAGGTGTGATGGCGATCAGTGCGGCCGCGTGGGCAGTCGGTCACAGGGGCGCCGGCGGAGCTCTACATAAGGAGGCGCCGCCGCCGGCCGGCAGCCCACTCGGCACCGGTGGACGGCGCACCAACCACCCTCCTGCTGCCGGCCGCCGGACCAGCGGGCACCTCCCACCAGGTGAGCGGCCACTGCGGGACCACAGAGCTGCTGCCGTGGACCGCTTCACTCCTCCGCGACTAGAGCATGCTGTGTAGCTGGTGTGCAGGATAAGTATGTAAGTTATAACGTCCCAAGCAATGGGCCGCGATCCCGGATATCAGATATGTGGTAGAATGAAGCTTTTTTAGAGAGAGAAAGAAAGAAATACCTACACAACGAAACCATAAGTTTTTTTCACAACTTTCATCATTCTATTCGATGAATGAACAGCAGCAGTCAACAGTTATCATTTTAAGTATAAGGTACAATTCTTTAGGGGCAATATTTGTAATACGATATTAGTTAACCCTCGCCCGGCGAGGGGGTTGATGCAACCCCCTAAGGTTTTTCGCGAATAACGTAAGAACGGCACCACCAAATTTGGCTTACCATCTGGGGCATCCTTTTGGCACATACCTATCCTGAAAATTTCAGGTCTCAGTCTTAACAGGTCAGGTCACCAGGTCATAAAATGGGTACCAGGTCAGAGGAAAATTGGACTAGTTTATTGTCAACGAATGGCATAATTTTTCGTCGATAGCTTGAGTACAATGGCACGTTGCGCTACCAAATTTCAGACACGGCTTGGGGCATTAACCCTATTCCTGGCGGGGGGCCTCAGGAGCCCCCCCCCCCTGAGGTTTTTTAGTTATATCTCCCAAACGCTTTGAGCTAGGAAGCTCAAATTTTCTGACTTTTTCTAAAAGGCTTTTACGCAACATTTCTGAAAATTTTTAATTGATCTGACCTCAGGTCAGGTCACCAGAGGCGGTTTGGTGACCCTACCTCAGAAAAGTTTGCAATCATGCCAGAGCTAGAGTTTTTGACCGATCAATTTCTTCTCTTCAGGCTTTAGTTAGGGTACCAGTATGTGCAATTTGTATATCTCAGAATTTCCATATCTGTGACCTGAGGTCAGGCCAGACTCGTGACCTTTACATTGCAAGCCTATGGGAAAATATTGAAACGCCTCCTGCTTCGTGTAAACGAGTCAAAACCACCCAGTTCTTTCAGTATTATGGAAGATTATCTCATCGGTGATGATCCTGGTGCCGCTAATTTACAGGGGCACCGGCAAAGGTCATCTGAGGTCATGTGACGTCATAAATCGTTTTTCTGTCAATAAATCACGACATGATGGTGCTAAAGACTTGTAAGTGGTACCAAACTGCTCGCCTGGTCAAGGCGCGTCGTTTGGTATGCAGCATGACCATACCCCACAACCTCATTGATGAATGACCTGACCTTGACCTCAGGTCAAATTTTAAATTGACCTGTGAAGGTCATCACATACTTATTTCGCATCGCCTCGGCGAGAGCAACAAAAAATGTATTGGTTTTATGTCTCTATGTTTCTTAGTTTAAAAGTTATATAGGTAACTAATTCCAAAACATTTTATCGTTGATGACCTCTGGTGACCTCAATATTGACCTGACCTGAAAATGTTTTATGTAAAAGTTGTAGATCTTTAAACGACCTATCAAATGCCGTTCGCCGTTTGTCGCTGCGATGTGTAGTTTTTGAGATCTGAAGGGGGGGCCGAATCGGCCCCCCCGCCAGTTTCTTGTCCCGGCGGAGCCCGCCAGGAATAGGGTTAAAGTGGTGCATGACCTGGGAGTTTTGAGTTCCGGTGACATCAGGTCAGGTCAAACCGGTATTAATTGTCCAAATGGCACATCAAGGCAATATTTTGTTCATTAAAACAAGATCTCTTCATCGATTTGGTTCAAACTCGAAACTTGCAGGATATACTTAGCTCACAGAGTGCCATCATATGCATCACAATTTGTCAAATTCGGTTGATCTGAGTCTATCTAGAAGTCATGACAAACTTGAAGATTTGCCCGAATGGGTCTAAATGTGTAAAGAATGAGAGATTGGTGCCCCATTTCGACGTTTTTGTGTTGTACTACCTTCATATATAACTATCTACTTGGTGTTTGCAAGAGCTGCAAAAACGCTAGGGTCGGGTCATCTGAGGTCAACTAAGTTCAAACAACGTTTTTGCTAATAACATGGCACGCGATGAGGCTAGAGCTTCAAACATGGTGTCACTGTATTCCTTGTGATCAGGCGATTCGAATGATATGAAGCACTTTGACCAGCTTGAACTTCATTAATTACGTAAGTAAGTTCACTTAATTTAATAAAATTTAAAGTTCACTTAAATTTGTAACAAAACATTTCATCCGATGCACACGGCCGTGCTGAGTTCACTGGTGCTTTAATATTTGTTCTAACTTTACTAGATAAAAAGTTATGCGAAAAATGTTCGACATGTTTTAGCGAAATTTTTACATTTATAAAAAAATCTAATATTGACCTAGAGTCACCAAATTTCGACGAAGGCTAGATCTCCTATACGGGCCTACCTACCCTGTAAATTTGGGCGTTTCTAAAAGCCATAAGAGCCAATCACCAGGGGAGGGGGGTCGTACCAACCCCCCCTCGCCGTCCGTGTTATGAAAAAGGCCCTCGCCTAGCGAGGATTAAATCGACGGGTACACACACTGCCTGTTGGCATCACCATTCCTGGGTGCCAACGCGATATCATCTTAGAGACGCGTAAATGATTTTAACGTAGACATATACTTGTAAAGAACACAAAGTCGTCAGAACTGCTGCACTATGGGCGCAATAAAACGATAGCACCTAAATGTGAAGAAATGTTAACAACGACAAGGCATTGAACATCCTTAATAGCAGAAGTACACTGTTGAGCATCGTTATATGCTGTTTGTATTGTAGATCAATGGCCATCTTGAAGGAACACAAAGGAATTATTCCTCCAATAATGTCACGACTGAAATGCATCTGTTGTTCGTACTTAATAGCCGTTTTCACGACGGCCATCTGGTACACATTTGGTGCACATCTGGTGCAGATTAGGTGCAGATTTGGTCCAATTAGGTTCAGGGTGTCCCTTAGTAGCTATCAGCTATGGTTGCACCATTTGCTTATATGCCTGCTTTGTCATATTATCAGAAAGTATCATCGATTAAAACACTGAAATAAATTCATCAAATAAAGATATTTGCTGTAAAAGAAATTAGATGCAGATTTCGTCAAATTAGGTGCACTCGCCGGATAGCCCGTCGTGAAAACGGCTAATCTGACCTAAACTTCTTCATCCAAATCGCTCTAAGTGTTATAACTGACTCAATACTGGATTGGTGTCGTTCAACTAGTTAGCTGCGAATAATTTTTATCGATTATCAACTTGGAACACACATACATTTCCCCGGATTTCCCTGTATGACTTTGAGCACACACCCACTGATTAGTCCATAAGTTTGATTGTGCCGACCGCACTTGGATATTCTAGGAACTAGGAATGAATTCAGCTTCGTGCTGATATGACAAATTGATCGAATCGATCAGGCCCTTTATCACTGTCAATTATCAGCTATGTGTTTATAGATAGGCATCAGTTAGTCGGTACTGGCAGTTTCACAGATGTGCTTTACGCACATTGCAGTAACCGTCGGAAAGGTATCGGAAATTGGTCTCGACAAGTGACAACCTGGGGTAGCTATATAATGATTCTACTTACATGCTGTCATTTTTTACATGTTCGGTCAGTCGTTGACAACTGCAAATACATGCCTTCATCAGCTACACAACGTAAATGTCCGTAACCAGTCGTACTAACATTGGCAGCTCCATTACTTATTTATTAGCGTCCCCAGGTTGTCTGGGCCACCGTGAGCGACTGGTTGATCCAGGATCAGCTCAGCGGATCAGCGGGATCGCCGCCGGCAGCATGTTGATGACGTCAGTGGAGTAGACAGTCATGACCAGTTTGGGACCGTCAAATGTCAGCGACTCAGCAGTCATCGATGGCTGCTGGTCATACGCGTGCATTATTCAACTAAAAGAACGCACAAATGCTGCCTGCCGCCCAAGGTAATCATTCAGCCCCTCTGCGCCGGCTTTGGATCAGCAGCGGGCAATATTGTGCTGAAAAATTCACAGCATTGGTATGGCAGGTCCGGCGCGAACTAATCGGATCGCGTACTTGGCCTGGATTCAGTGCATTAACCTGCAATCCTGGTCTATGTACTGCCAAGTCATGATTAATGAAGCGGTGAGCTGCACTGAGCATGGCAAGCGTCGCTTTTAGACTGTGGACTTTCGTGGTTAGACTCAAAGAACCAAGTCTAGGAAGAAGGAAGTCATGGTGCTGTGCATATAACAGATCATGTCTTAGGGAATCAATATTGAATGGTGTTTGGAAATGTGCAAAACAAAACCAAAACATTTTGCATAACATATGTCACTTGGCTGCATATGTGTTACATGACAGCTACATCTAAAAAGGCCTTCTACATTTTTTTTTCGCCAAAGTCGCAAGTACCTAGGTATCTATTCCAAAACAGTTTACGGAACATGTTTTAAATTGGCCACCTCAGTTCATGTGGCGGACCTGTGCCGATCCGTATACCCGATCTGTGTGACCCTGAACAGGCCAACTGAAATGCCACGGAAACATTAACTAGGACCTCCATCCGCAGCATTGCTCCTACGTACTTACGTATACAAAGCATATCTATCCTCAAACCGCCGCGAGGTCGCACAAGTTAGTTCGACAGGTTTTCATTGGATCCGTGCTGATAGTTTTTTATATTGCATGCTAGGCCTGATAAAACAGGCTTTTGCAATGTCATTCTGCCACATGTTTTAGCAAAAGAAGTTTGGTTTCAGTATACACTTAAATTAATTGCTGTAGTACAAATCACGTGTCGTAGGGTTCATCATGTCTACAATACCTACGACTTACTAGTACGATTAACAAGCGCTTGAAGACAGATGCTTTTGAAAGGCATTCGATTTACATTTTCATCGAGTAAATAGGTAGGTAATTGGTTTTCTAGGCAATATGGATTGTGTCCGGAATGACTGCAGTTCAGTAGGTAAAAGTAAACACCTAGTAGGCTTTAGGGAATCAAACGCTCATGACAAGTGCCAAAGACATGCACAATTCCTTCTCCAGGCTCATGTATCAAAGCCGACCCGTGCCTCTCCCTGCCGGTCTTTCAGTGACACGATTAGGGGCGCGAGCGTGATAAACGTGCGTCAACGGTCAGAATCGACCCCATACGGCTCTGGAAGACAAATTATGGTACGCCTGGTGCGGGAAAGCAGCTGATGCCAGACAGAAACGGAGTCAGTGAGTGTGTGTGCACTGCAGTGTGAGAGCGAGACAGGAGAGAGAGAGAGAGGGAGAGAGAGAGAGAGAGAGAGAGAGAGAGAGAGAGAGAGAGAGAGAGAGAGAGAGAGATAGAGAGAGAGAGAGAGCGAGAAAGAGAGAGAGAGCGTGAGAAAGAGAGAGAGAGAGAGAGAGAGAGAGAGAGAGAGAGAGAGAGAGAGAGAGAGAGAGAGAGAGGGGACGATTTGGAGGTAGAGGCTGGACGTTGAGATGACTTTTGGAGCAGTATATTCTTTCCTAATAAACACTGAATGCCATAGTATAAATTATGGTATAAATTTTGCAAACACCTCAGCTTACTGGAGTCCCCTGTTCTATGTTTAACTGTCCCTTGTTTGGGTGTTATTTTTGGAACGCACTCAATTTAGTAAAAGGCAAATTTGTCATTAAAACAAATCCGAGAAAAATATATACCAAAAATAGTGCGCCTAAGATTGATAAAAGCGTATGATGTGGAGCCCTTTTTTTGCAAGATATTTGTATGTAATACGCCCTATTTAAAGCTGACATATTTCAGTCTACCTGTCCATAGTGAACTGTTACACGATATGTGTTGAACCATGGATGGATCCGGTATCCGCCGCCTGCCGCGCCGAGCGGCCGTGCGCACTGCGCAGTTATGCTGCGCCGCACGGCACCGGCGAGCTGCGGCACAGCCTACCCAGCCAGGCCACTGCCGCTGTCGGCTGCTCCATTCGCGGGCGGCGCGAGCTGCAGGGGACGGAGATGCTGTTATTACTTGCACATCTCGAAATGCACTTCTCCTGACAGCAGCGCATCAGGTAACTAATGAGGCGGACGTCTCTTCGAGAAGTTGAGACATGGATAAAGCGCCCAAATAAGTTACGCGGCGCCCAAATAAGTTTCATCGGTTCAGATTATCTGCAGTCATCATCTGGCATTCCAAACTAGAGATACGAAACATAGCACGAAACGGGCTTAAATCAAACACACACGATTCCGTGGAGATGCAAACCCAAAATAGATGATCTCAAGTCCTCAAATGTCAGCGATCTCAGAGGGGTCCTACATTTCCCCCGACCTGAACCATGGCATTCGATTTCGAAATGGAGTATCATTTGCTATGGTAAGTGGCGCTTACCCTAATGATGTCATAAGTATCGTTAGCCTATAATGGTGCAGACATTGGCAGCTCTAGTAAAGTCGTTGAAATTCAACACGACATTATTTGCACAAGACAAGACAAGGAAAGGTGCGCCGTGGCGACATTCGAGATTACAAGATCTCAGAAGATGAGCGGCAGTACCCCAACATGCCATCACATCAGCCCTGATACAGCTGACGAGCTCATCCGTTGGGTGTTATCCCCAAAGCAAACAAGCCAATCAAAGTGCTGAGCCGGCCGGTGCGCCGTTGCATGCCAATCGGCTCTGCCGTTCGCCAGTCGCCGGGTCGCCGTGCCTACTGCCATCAGACAAATGTCGTTACGCGCCAAACGCGACGCTGATCCGAGACTGATCGACGACAAACGGCACCGCTCGCTCCCAGGTCGCGACCCGAGTGTTCCCCCAGCGTTCCCGAGCGTTCCCGAGAGCTCCGGTGTGTTTCGGATGACCCCAGTAGCACACAGTGATAGGATGAACGGGATAGCCGTTTTAGAGTGTCAGCCAGTCAAATGGCTGATGTGATGGTGACGCTAAACCATCACCCAAGGGTGACCCAAGGGTTTAATGAGCGGCGCATAAGACGTCGAACGATGACGCATCACTGGTCAAGTTCATGACTGGAGGAATAATCTTGTCTTTCTTTCGCTTACAAATGGCCTTAATATTGGTGGGTGAGGCTGACACTGCTTAGTCCACTTCTTTGTGTGTACTGTGTGGATGCATCTAAGCTCTAACACGCATCAAAAAAAGTCAAAAATCTATGAAGATCAAAGTTCCGAAGGGACACTCTCCACAAGTTCGACATTTTGTTGCAGCTTTCGCCATATAGTTATTTACATACGTACCAATATAGTTGCTTACAAAAAGTGCCGTAAAAATCGAGCTTTAATGCATTTGAATATCACAACAAAAATATTTTGATTCAAAAAGCACTACCAAACATGACATGAAACAAGTATTAACTACTTTGGTCACTTCATTTCTACATATAGGGTGAAATAGATTGCAACACGAATAGTTGCAGTGCCGCCTCAAACTGTCGTAAAAAAACTGTCTCTTACCAGATCCGATAGCTCCTCGGATCACACAGATTGCAAGCTGCCCTTTCCATTCTAGGACACATGTCGCACAAAAGAGGACCAGATCAAACGCGTTCTAAACTAAGATAAGCCGAAACGAACGACTGCCAGTGGCCGGGCTGAGACGATCCAGCTTCAATGAACGAGCCGGTCTGGTGGACGAAAACGGTGCGAAGAGGCCGCAGCTGCGACCGAGCTCGGGCAAAGGTCGGTCTCAGCCGGCAGGAAATATACGGAGACGTCATTGCTCATTCCGATGACGAAGACGGCTGCGGGCTCACACCGGGCCGCTGGTATTCTCAGGTGTGCAGTGTATCTTATGGGGCCAGGAGATCACGAGAACTGGCGAGAGAGACAGTGTTTCCATTTGGCAAGGGGTTTGAAGTGTATTTTGATGTGTGGTAATGAGCCAATTGCTTTATTTATGTGAATTATAAAGCAGGGATATAAATTGTAATAAGTTGACGATGTTCTAAACGCAATCAAATTACATTCAGACCCTACCAGAGCAAGTCATTTTTACCAGAGCAGACGAACAAAAGAAAGAGCAACGCCGAGGAAATTTGATGACCAGATCAATAACTTGCATTGCTCGTTTCTTTCCGGTGTCATTATGTCTAATGATAATTTAGATCAGAGAGCATCTCCCGTTGTCCTCACTAACATACACACGAGACATACTCGGTCAACATGCCCGCAAGCACTCGTCTGATGGGGAGGGACAAAGCAAACTCATCTTGGTAACGCCCCATTGTGCGTCGCCCTGCCATCGTCGTCTCTGCTCGATCTATGTCCATCTGCGACCGAGGTGCGTTCTCCAATCACGCGAGCCTTTCTCTCTTTATTTCCAGACGGCGCTCTCGCCCCGCCGCCCGCCGCCCGCCGCCCGCCGCCCGCCGCCCGCGCCGCCGACGATGCGGCTGCCGCTGCTCGCGCTCCTGGCCCTGCTGAGTGTGCTCTCGCTGGCGGCCTGGGGTGCCGCCTGGCCGCGCACCTCGCTGGCCACCGAGCTGCGCCACCGGCTGGATACCCGCGGCTCGTTCATGCGGCTCGGCCGCGGCGATGACGGGCTCGGTGAGCCGGAGTCCGTCGATGAGCAGCGCGCCGAGTCGGAGCCCGAGTCGGCCGACCCACTCGGTGACTCTGAGTCGGCGCTGGACGACGCCGAGCGGCGGGAGTTCGCCAGGCTGACCCGGCCCAGCTTCGTCCGGCTGGGCCGCATGTGGCTGCCGCGCGGCAGCCGCGCCAGCAGCATACGACTCGGCCGGCGCTCGGGAGATACAAACTTCCCCACCAGCTACAAACGCTACCGCATCAGGTTGAAGAGGTCCGTCTAAGCGTCTCCCGGGCAGGCAGCCGCCAGGCGCGGAACAGGGGAATGCAATGCAGAAGACATCATCCGGTCAGAATGATTAAAATAATGAAATCAATATTAACAACAGCAGCAGACTTTGGGCGAGGCGAGTGGCTCTGAATGATTATCGACCAGCGTCGAATGCACGCAATCTCTCTCGATGCCTCGGGAGGTGATGCTACTCGCTGTATCAGGAGGTGATACTTTGCATCGGGAGGTCATACCCTCTGTATCAGGAGGTGATACCGCAGCGCCCGACATACATGGTCTGGAGGCGTGTGACAGGGATCGAGAATGGCTGGCGCTCCCTGTCACATGCTCACAAGGCGACAGCTGACTAACCCGGCCCGAAGGGCTCCACACCGATAGCTTCATCAGAAATGACCGACTTAGTTATCCCCACTGACTTAAGTAAAGCTATACTGTGCTGATTGTTCAATCATGAAGCTATAGTAATCGCTACTGATTCCACGTGTGAGCTCTCGCTCGAAATCTCGAATCTGGGGATCGTATTGCTGTTCAGTTTTTGTTGGTGAATATGACTATGGTAATGAACATTCAAAAGGATTACAATGGCCCATTGAAGCGTTATTGGATAAAGTTAGAATATCAACAATGTCCCAATGCTCGCCTGCAGTGTTCCATGGTCGTTCTTACGTTTGATCGTAGCGGTAACATGGTTTCAGTGTCCTTACAGGGCAGGTGCCCTTGCATTATATATTCGTCCATATGTGACTGCACCCATAAGTGGGCCATGAGTCTTTGGTTACTTTTATGCTAACAAAGAATAAAGGTGGGACATGCCGATGACAGAAATGCAACGTTTAGGACGAATAGCTGATGAAAATTATGTGTTTATCATGCCTAAGAATGCATCAGACTAAAAGGATCGATGCTAATATATGAATGTTGCATTAATTTTGCGAAAATACGCTGCGAGTTGCGTGCAATGCGTGCGACTGTATCACACAGTGGTGATGTTTCGTCGGTGTTATTTCGCTATGCGGAGTACAGCATTACGCTAATGTCTGTTGATAAAAGGGAGGCGTCCCTTCTGAAAACTAAGAGCGAAATATGGTGTTAAATTCTCTGACTAAGGCAGGCAAAATGTATGTGCACTACCCAGACCCAGCTATGCCCTTTCCAACGCCGTGCCTTCGCCAGAAGAAATCGGAGTCCAAACTTTGCCAAAATGCCACCTTACCATCACACTGTAACTTCACCGTATGCAACTGAGGTGACTAGTTACCTTTTATTTTTCTATGACTGTGATTGTTTTGGCGTGTATTATTTTCTTATTTCGTGGATAGGGGCTTGTAAATATCTGATATGTACCGCAAACCCTGATGCTGTGTAATTGTTGCACAAATAATAATATGCTGTTATTTAGTATCCATAAGGAGGAGGTGCATTTGCAATATACGTTATCCGGAGCTTAGTTTGTAACCCAGAGGCTGTTTGACGTCCAAATATGTAGTATTGGAACACTTGAAGAGCGGCTAACTGTGTGCACAATGCATCAAACGCACCACACACAAGGGACATGTGTCATCAAATCGTCGCCATTGGGCTGTGTCAACGCTCCAAATCATTTGTCATAATTTAACCATGGATGAGATGGATTGGTGTCTTCGCAGTTTTTGGCGACATTGAGCTCAGGCCTGCCATCTAGCGGGAGAATTATCGTAAGTTAGGAGCAAGCCCAGTGAACGCCGCTGATTAGCATTGTGACACACGGGAGTGTGGTGTAGTAGCAGGCTTGTTGTGCAATTTTTCAAAAGGTTATGTCTTTATATGTCAGAAAAAGCGAAGAAATGAATAGATTTATGTGCAGGCTCAGTAATAAGATAAGCGGTTTCCTGTTATTTCCTCTTTAAATCGTGAAATGGGGAGTTATTGGAGACTTCGCCAGCACGTGTCATTTTCGCTATTTTTCAAATGAGTCTTTACTTGGCCTAAATTAAACATTTTATCCGATCAAAGAACAAAACTAGCGTAAGTAGGTACTATCTATAAGTCTAATGAAAAAGTTGAACGGAATTGCTAACGTCATTGCCACTCAATGTGTCATCCAAGACCATCTATGAAAAGGACCCAACCAGTGCTGCGTAGTCGATGAAATTTCAGTGACTTTGGCTCCAACTCCGATTCCGGTATCCAAATATCGACTCCGACTCCTCCGGGCAGAACTGTCGATTCCACACAGACTCCGACTCTGACTCCGACTCTGCCGCCCTGGTACGTCTGTGGAGTCGATGACTTTTCGGTGACGTTCGACTCATACTCCGACTACAGCTTTTAAAAATCAACCGACTCCGAGTCGGAACAGAACCGCTGGCTCTGACTACAACTCCGCAGCCCTGGCCCAAGATAGCCGCCTAAACCAATTTCGGTGTGTGATCTTCTTCATACATTGTTATTGTTATTTTAAACAAGAAGTGGAAAAGGGAGACGAAGCCTTCACAAACAAGGATCTCCTGTTGTGGATCAATCAGCTGCTGGAACAGAAAGGCATAAACACCACGCATCTCATCTCATCGTTTTCCTAACGACTCTGCACCAATGTAAGCACTGATCAATGCCATGCAGTGCGAGCATCGATGTGACATTTGTGTACCAAGTTTTAGTTATCCGCCCAGCCGTTCTTGAGATATGAAAGCGGCACCCCGCACGTGAGCACGTGCAGTAGCACCCCCATAGTGACACATGGAAATGCATTGGCCACTGGGTACCTAACTATTGACGAAGTTATACTGTAATGGGCCCAGCCATTGCGGAGTTACTTTATGTGGAACAATTTCGACACCCCTAAGTTGGCACGTGGCACGTGCGGTAACATTTAACCAAGGTGTAGAAAATCGGGCGAAATTCGGAGAAGAAGGAATAAGCCTACCAATTATGTATGACATATTGTCAAACTGCTGTACCATTGTAAGTAAATGACCATATAAAAGGTCGTACAAGCCGATGGGACTGGGCGTTTCAATACACACCGTCTTGCGCATTTTATTTTCGTTATTAGCTAAAGGCTGCTTGACGTTTTTGGCTTTCAAGCATTTAATACATTTTTTTTGTCGTCTCAGGTCCAGTGAGATTAACTCCAACTCGTGGGAATATGCACTTCAAGCCAACTAACACACCACACCCACGTGTGTCATAATGCTGAGAGATGGCGTTCACTCGGCTTGCTCCTAACTTACGATAATTCTCTCGCTAGATGGCAGGCCTGATCCCAATGTCGCGGATCCCAATGTTAATTTCCACGAGACACCAATCCACCATACAATGGAGGAGGTGCAGTTTTCGCCGGAACATTAAGGCACATCATTATTTTCAACGAGAGTCGATTAAGAAGATAAAGGGGTCATGAAACGACAAAATACCGCAAGGCTTTTCAGCAGGGCCGTTCTCAGTTGTTGGAAACTGGCTGTCCAAAGGAAGTGTGTCCAAGGTCTCGACTCTCGAGCAACATTGTTCCCGAGCCGCCGGTCACGGTGAGGGATACATGCGTCTATTGCCGGCTTTCTAGTGAGGGCAAGAAAAGGTTAATTATAAAATATGTGTGAAAATGTGTGCAGATAAAAATATATGCGCTTGTTTATCGAGCCAAATGCATGCCTAGCATTCCTGAATATTAGGCGCATCGTTTGGTGGGATTGCAATTACGCCGAAGCCCAGGATCTCTTGTATCAGCGATATTACTACTGTCGGCAAACACGTCCTCTGTCAGATAAGATCCTCGTTGACACCTAGGCGCTTCATATCATTGTCACACGCCGATCAGTGGTGGAACACATCTCACTCCCACTCACATATTGCATATTAATATTGCATTCAGGAAATGGCAATATGCCTTCAAAACGTAGTGCACTAAAAATTAAATCAACATTTAGATATTTGTCTTTATTACATGAGTTTGGGAATAAAGTTGGATGGTAGCAGCATAGGTGCAAATAAAACTAGCATTGCTGTATATCTATAACGCAATAAAAATGAAACTAACAATAAATAACTCTGAGCTGGTTTAGATCCTTTCTGTCGGATAGAAAACAAAGAGTCGTTGTGAACGGTAAGTGCTCCTCGTGGCAGGACGTTCTCTCTGGTACACCGGAAGGTAGTGTAATTTCGCCATTGCTTTTCGCTCTTTTCGTTAACGATTATCCATTGTGTGTTCAAACAAAATGCTTAATGTTTGCGGATGACATCAAGGTGTACTCAGAGATTTCAGATTTGACAGATACTGCACGGCTACAAGGGGGTATTAGGAGACTTTATAATTGGTCGAAAACTTGGAAATTGAAATTGAATCCCTCCAAGTGCAAGCAGTTCTGTATTACCTTAAAAAGTGATCCCCTTACTTGTCAATACATGATTGGTGACACTCGCCTGGAAATCGTGCACACAATTAGGGACTTGGGGGTGGTTTTAGACAGACGACTCACGTTTTGTAATCATGTTGACTTTATTGTGTCTAGGCACAGACTTCTCTATACATGGACTGTGCACTGATCTGGCCGAAGTAGCATAAGGGGCCCAAAATTGTGGCAATACGTTTGAAGCATTTGCCAGGGAGCATGGCCATTTTTCTTTGAATTATTCATTTTAACGTTCTGGAACCTTCGCTTAAATGGAAAATAAAACATTTTCCGCTATGATTTCCCGCCAGAATTGCCAATCTTGAGTCAAAATTCCAGGCTGTGGACTTAAATATCAAGCGAAGATCAGAGGCATGCAAGTGTTTCTGTGCATTTTGAGTTGTGTGTTCAATGGTAGGTACTGTCATAAAACAGAAAGTTATACTCCCAGCTACAAGTGGACTACTTTTCACCATCGATCAGGTTCAACAAAGACAGTTTTGGTTCCCACACGTATGTATTCGTAACGATTCCCAACGGCCAGCATGGGCACAAACACCGATTTGGTCCACTATCCCAGCCCTTGGGCCGATTCTCCTGGGACGTCTTGGGCCGGCTCGTCAGAAGAGGCAGCAACAGCATGCTCTGTGATCTCTGTGACGGCTCGCTGGTCGTTTTCCAGGCGTTGATGAGAGACAGGGTGCATGCTACATGTTCTTGAACAGGCATGAACTCAGCTCGCGCCCGTTAGTTTGCGGATCTTGTCCGAGTCCACACCGCGCCCACTGGTGCGCGTCGGCGGCCCCTTTCGTTTCTTGCTATGCACTTGGCTGTTCACATCCTTCACGTGGTTAGACACGAACACGTTAAACAGCGCTCCGGCCATGGTGGCGAGGATATTGCTGGTAAACTTGTGCCCCCTTCCACAAGCCACTTCCTTCAGTTCTTCGTCATCGCCGAGCATGTTCTGAACCACAGATCTGAACACATTCTTGGGACTTGAACTGCCAAAGAGGATGGTGCGAGTCTCTGACTGTGAATTCACCAGAAGTCTGTAGAGCTGGCAGACCTCCATGACGACTCGCAGGCACAGTTCACTCGGTTGCAGGAGCTTTCCACGGTTGAGGAGGTCGGTGAAGCTAGCAGCCACCAGCTTTTCTTCAGCATTCTCTGCCACCACGGTTACCAGTTGCGCCCTTAGCCCGTCAGAGAGTAGCGCGCGACACTCATCACATCTGTGAATCTTCTTGACTGAGTGGGCTAAATAGCCTGCTATGTGGTGCAGAGCCTGCTGTGTCCCTTCTGGGACGTCTTGGGCTGGGTCATCAGAAGAGGCAGCAGCGGCATACTCGGTGAGCTCAGTGACGGCTCGCTGGTCGTTTTCCAGGCGCTGCTGAGAGACAGGGTGCATGCCAGCCGTCACTGTGCTCAGACCATAGCCTGAGAGCCAAATTAGGCTTTTTACGCGGACGATAGCCTCTCCTTCAAAAAATTGACGAGAGCTCGCCCAGAAGTTGCCTCCGGCCAGTTTCCAGAGATGGCCGAAGTGACCTTCTAGCCGGTCGGATTGAATCTTGCCAAGCAGGACATACTCGAGATCACACTGTCTGAGCAGATACTTGGCCAGCCCGACCAGCCCTCGACAGGTTGCTGCCACTCCACGTATCGTGTCGAGCGACATTTGCGTCTTCTTGTTTCCCTGGGCTTCCCAGCGCAGCATCATCTTTCCGAACTTCTCGATGTATGCCAGCCCTTCTTCATCTCCAGTGGAAATAGGCTGCAGAGTCGAGTCGTTGCGACGAACATGCTTCCCAGGGGACTTCACGTTGACGATGTCGAACCACCTCCGAACTTGGTGCAGGAACTCTGCTGTACCGTTTAAGGAGCCGTACTCTGCATGCTGCCCATAGTAGCGGAGCGCAGCGATGGTTGTCTCGTGAGTGGCTGCTACGGCGAGCTGCACGTTCACGCGCTCTATGCTTGTTGGATGGAGCACCTTATCCGTGAGTCGGTATGCCATCTTGGCATCAGAGCTGTACTCGATGGAGTGTACCTTTTCCAGGTGGCTGAGGTGAACAT